TGGAAATCGATCAAGTGTTCGTTGGGGTGCTGCCCCCCTCCTCACTTCACCCGCGCGCACGCACCTTTGCAACTGGGATACAGGAGTCGACGGGCCCGTTGATCGGCGTTCAAGTAGTCGAGGCCGGGCGGGGCAAGAGGGGCCTAGGGAAGGAGAAGCAAGGAAGGGGGAACTATTGACGGGCGAGTCGATGATATCATGACAGCATTAGTCCTTCGGGCGAGAAGGCACGCGGCTGAGTGAGCAGCGACTGGGAAAGGGTGAAGGTGTGTTGTGTGTGGGTGTGCTGCAAGCGTCTAGCATCAGTGCTCGCGCCAAGATTTCCAACTGATCCCATTGATGAATGCTCCCATCCTGTCCATCGGACTAGAGAAGCCGAGGGCCCGCCACGAACTCCTCTGCAGCGCTGGTCGAAGGGTGCAGATTCTGCGACGGACGGACCCTTTCTTTTATGCAAATCGCTGCAGATGGCTCTTCTTCATGATGAATTGCCAATCGGGCGGTCGTCGCCTAGAATTCTTTTTTTTTTCGTTCTTTTTCCTTCTCTGTATGCTTCATGCATTCATGCATCCTACCCCAGGCCCAATATCGAACCAAAGAAGGAAAAAAAAAAAAAAAAAGATTAACACAGCGTAGGTACTACCACGCAAAGGAGAAAGACAAAAGAACAAACCGCCCAAGGAGATCTCCGCGCCAATAGATCTCTCGCGTCGCTTCAGAACACGTCTCTTCCTTTTGAGCTCTAGTTAATATTGTTTTGCCTTCTACCTCCCAGGGGCGCGACGGCCAGCTCCTCAACATGGCACGGCATGTTTGCTGTCAATGCACGCCGATGCAGGGTGGCGATGGCGGAGGCAGAGGAAGGCAAAGAGAGACGGCGGAAAGGGGGAGCCCGGCCCAGGGCTGCGAACCATGGTTCGCAGAGTGCATCCCCTGCCCACCTTGGGAACAGGAAGAAGACAACGGAAAACTCAATAATAAAGAGAAAGATAAGGAGGAGGGAGGTGAATGGAGGGGAAGGGGGAAGCCGACCTGTTCGCCAAAGGGCGGCACCTTCGGCAGACCCCTCTTGACAAAGGACCAGATCACTGACGATGAGGAGGGGGCGGGCGACCACCTCGACCAGCTCGGTTGGAGATGTGATGCCGCCCTCCGCCTCGCTGGAAGGCCTGGGCTGGACTGTGGCTCGTTGCAAAGGCAAAGCTCTTTACGCGCCTCTTCATGCCGCCCGATCGGGGCATTGTCGGCGAGAAGACCAAGTGCCAGCGCAATGGTTTCCGTCAATAGTTTGTGGCGCCCAGACCTCTCTCGCGGCACGCATTCTCTCCTTGAGCTTTTCTCTTTTTCTGTTGTCCGTTATGTTCTGCTTGTGCGTGTAAATTCCCAAGTACCACGCCCATCTCTCTCTCTCTCTCTCTCTCTCTCGGTCGACACGCACGCGCACGCACGCACGTACACTCCACGAACACGGACACAGACACCACACTCACTCCACCCGTTTCTTTTTTCCCTCTCCCTTCTTCCTTCTCTCCTGCCGTGGTCACGCTCAAGTTTAGATGCCTCCATTTCTCTCTGGCGCCCACTGGCGCCAGCCGCAGCAGTTAGGCTAGCGGGCGTTAAAAGAAGTCTATTAAGCTCGTGCGTCGGGACGGCATCCCGGAACAACCGTTGCGAGAGCACAGGATTGGCCAAAGACGGGCTTCTTCTTCCTTTTTTTTGTCCTCTCTCTTCTTTTAAGGGAGAGTGCCTTATCTCTCCAAGCCCGCCTGTCTATCTCCCCACCTGTTCTACAAGTAGGCCAGTCCGGTTCGGTTTCGCTGTCTTACTATTCGTGCTTCTTTTACCTCTTTTTCCTTGCAGAGTGCCCTAGTCTCATTACAGTTGAGATGTAGGATCCATGAGCTGCGAGCCTGAGAGCAGTGATGTGATATTACTGACCACGTGGAATCTGACCCCCGATTTTCCAGGGTGACAAGAGCAAAAGAGAAAGAAAAGCAAGAAAAAGAACGGAATGTGGAGCAAACGTTTTGGAGGAGGCGAAACCCAAAGAAACATAGGCCGGTAAAGAATCAAAGTCGTGCGTTTTTGCCCCAAGTTTCATACAAAGCACCCTGCTTGTTCCCCCGCTCCCACGTTTGGACCGACATGACCAATGCATCAATTGATGCTGGATGTACCCTTGAGCCGGGGGAGAAGGCCATGGCACACGGGACGATATGCAGCTTCTCTAGCGGTTGCGACCTTGGAGACGTTTGCTGGAGGAGGAGAATCTCTATTCCGCACTAAGTGCTTGCTTCGATAACCAAGATCCAAGTTCAAGTTTTCTACTTGTAGTCGTCGCCAAAGTGTCCCCTCTCGTGCCATATCTAGCTCGGCTGCATCGGTTCGGGGAGGACAGAGAGATGGAAAGAGCCTCGCGTCGCTCAAGACAGATGCTCACCCTTGTTCCCTGGATATGGCGATGGATCCATCCATGGATGTCTCCAATGGAACTCACCCGTGCTATTGTCGCACAGCATCTCAGGCCCTTGCCTATCCTTGGCCGGCCTCTCGAAGGCGAGATAGCCACTCAGCGCCCCTTCTCATGCCATCGAGTTCAAATCCACGTTTGGAGCGAGTGAGCACGAAGCCCCAATCATGCCGTCGTGTGCACCGCCTTGACTGAGCCATCCATCTGGCCCATCCATTCCGTCTCACCACGAGGTGGTTTTTTTCTGTTTTTCGTTTTCGCCCTTCGCCCCTTGTCTCCTTCTTCCTTTCTTTCCTCTGTGTCCCCTTTTAAAGATGACCCTCTTGCGATGTGGGGTCGGCAAGAGAGTCACTCCCCTTGATATCGTTTCACGAGGTGCTTGCCCGCGCACTACCCTGCATCGTAGGGAACTGATCCGATTACTCTCGTACTTGGGAGTTTGTCAAACGTCACTCAAACGCACACCCACACATCCGGACATCCAGCCCGGCATCCAGGCATTCAGGCATTCAGGCATTCAGGCATTCAGACAGTCCCTTGGGGAGGGCGGGGGCTCAACGCCAACAAGCTAGGCCCGAGCTGGCAGCAACGAGCAAAAGATGGTGTAAGGGTTTATAAGTGGGGGCAGTAACCTCCATCACGATATTCCCGAGACAGTTGTGCCTTGGCGACTTTTGTAGGTGCAGCAGGTGCAGCAAGTGCAGTGTGTACTTTGCTTTCAATGCTCTGAATTGGAACCGCTTGATCCGGAACTTGATAATCTTCGCCATCGGTTCTTGGCTCTGCTTTCTACATTTCCTCTTTTTCGCCTGTGATTCCCCATGCCCCAGAGGTTGTATCTCTAGATACAAGTTGGCGCTTGGCAAGCAAGTCGAAAGAAGGAAAAAAGCGAGAGATGGGGAATGCGCAAAGGTGGAAGAAACTCTGCTCCGTCGAGACCAGCCGGATCTCGGCTGCATCCATCAAACGGAACAATGCATACACCCATCCCTGGCTGTATGTATTTCCAGAACCGGGACCCGACGTGATGAGCCAAGGGGACAAAAGGGAATCCAGTTCATCTCGTGTCCGCCGTCTTCGCCGTGCCTTGCAGTGATCTTCGCCTCAATCGTGTTGGTTTCGTCCTGCGCCTGCGACCCTGCACCATCGCCATTCTTCCTCTCTCTGGAAGCCAACGCACCCTCCCCCACGCGCGCTCCATCTTCTGTCCCCCATTGCAATCTCTGTTTTTTTTTTTTTTTTTTTTTTCGTCCCAGTTCAAGGCCACTTTCTCCCCTCGTTCTCATCCTCCTTCCCCTTCTTGCTCTTCATACACCAACCGCAGTCACGATAGCTTCGTATCCGGGGAATGCAGCCATCCCTCCCATCTATATAGCTTGCATTCGTGGGCTAGGAACTCTACCCAGCCCGCCTTTCCTTTTCCCACTCTCGAGGGATTACCTCGCTCCGGGAAGCGTTGGGCCGGTGACGGCAACCGGCGTCACACGGCTTTTTGCCCACGGGTACCTCTAGAAAGGCTTCAACCGACTTCTTGCTCATGAGCCCCCTCCCCTCCTTCTCCAACGTGAAAAAGGATCGGGCTAGTTGCTGCAGGGTCCCGAAATCCGAGGCCTGGTAGCCCAAAGGTGCAACATGGGTTCTGATGACGACGGGAATGAGAGGCGCATGTTTGGCTCCCATCCTTCCTTTATTTCTACACTACCTCATCGAGTGTTGAAAGGACCAGAGTTTCGAACCGATTCGTCCTGTTTGACCTGTTCCCCTCTCTATGAGCTTTCTTCTCCGAGAGGATCGCTCTTCCGCTCTCTGCAATTTTGTCGTCCTCCTGATGCCATGTTCATTTTTCTTGGCCTTGCATCCCCTCAGTTCTCACATCCGTTTTTTTCCTTTCATTTTTAGCACGCCCTTCATTTCGTGAAACCCTCCCTTCCATTCCAAACGGCCAGTCGTAATATCAATATTAAAATGTGTGCCTGGGAGGTCAATTTCGGTTCGAGCTTTTAGCCTCGTCGGCTCCGCTTTACGGCCCCCTTTGATGGCTCTGTTGTCGGCGATGTCCACATATTTTCTCTCTCGGAGTATATACATCAAGTGTGTATGTGTGTATATATATTTGGACCTGCATGCCACCTTTACTTCCTTCCGAAAGGAAAGAAGAAAAAAAGACAAGACAAGAGAGAAAAACTTCGCTGGGCAATTTCAGCAATAATAAGCTGCGCGGCACTGGCGGGGATTTTGGCCATCATAGGGAAAAAGACATGTTCATAAAGGCGTCATGTATCAACCGACGCGGTTTTCCATTCTGTCATGATCAAAGGGGGAAGGGTATCAAAAAGAGCTCGCCTGTCTCTGCCGCATACCTCACCCCCGAGCCTCGTGAAGGCAATCTTAGAGTCTACTATATACACGGCATCCTTGCGTTGGGTGCCTGGTCTTATCCCATGGCCATGTCTCCCTACCTCTCTCTCCCTCCCTCTCTTACTCGCCGCGGTCTTTTCTCGAGACCAGAGACCAGAGCCCAGAGCCTGGTTTAGGCCTGCTGGACCACCTGCGCATAGTTATCTTGCGTTGTGCCCTCGTCCTCCACCGAGGGCTCAATGGGATCCCAGTACTCATAAACCTTGTTCTCTTTGCCTCGGCCCTTTACCGCAGGCGCTTCGTACGTTGACCGACCTGTGCGTCTATCGTACGACTTAAAGGAGTGGGCCAGTCGCTTGCCACCACCTCCGGGAAGGTCCACGATAAATTGCGGCATCATGAATCCCGCAATCGAGCCTCGGATCTGTTTCTCGAGGTCGAGGATGGTCTGGACTGGGGTTCGGAGATGTTCCACCTTCTCCACCATGTCGCACTGGTAGACGTAGTACTAGGATAGATAATGTTAGTGAACCTCCCTCCTCAAAACTTGAAATAGTCAAGGCTACGTGATAGTCTAGTCGCTAGCAGCCACATGGTGGGAAAGTGGGTGTTACTCACCGGCAGAATGTTCATATTAGCTAGCGACCGGATTAGCTGCGACATGGTCGCAACATTGTCGTTGACGCCTCGGAGAAGGACCGTCTGGTTGCGAACAGTCACGCCCGCCTCGAAAAGCTTTTGAGCTGCCAGCTCCGTAACCCACGAAATCTCATTGGGGTGGTTAAAGTGCGTGTGCAAAGCCACGGCCTTGCCCATCTTCCGGGCCTTGTTGGAGACGCTGATAATGGCGTCGACCCACTGATCGGATCGGTCAATGATCCTGTTTGGGCTGACTGCCAGACCCTTGGACGCAAAGCGGAACCGCTTGATGTTCGGCATTGAGATCAGCCTCTCTCCAATCATCATGATATGCTCTGGTTGGAGATAGTATGAATCTCCACCAGAGACAACAATGTCCTGGAGTGCGGGCTGGCTTTCAATGTACTCGAAGCATTGCTCCCACCTCTTCCTGGTTGGCTTCAGGGACGACTTAAGGACGCTCTCTGTATCAGCTCCAACGGCGTAGGACCGCGTGCAGAAGGTACAGTACGTCGGGCATACCGAGGTTGCTAAAAGAAATTACCGCTGTTAGCAGAGGCGCGCTGGCATTGCATATCACAAGAGAGACTTCTTACGCAGGAACAAGGCCTTGTCCGGGTACCGATGGACCAGTCCGTTAACGGGCGAGTCTGCTGCCTCGTGGAGAGAGTCCAAGACGAGGTTGGGGTGATCGGGTCGCATCATGGACTTGAGAGGTATGAACTGCCGAAAAACTGGATCAGTTCGAGGGTTCTGCCAGTTGATGCGGCTCAGAATGTATGGCCTATGAGGTACGAGGAGCATGGGTTAGCCTTTCTCCTTTTTCTTTCTGTCTGAGGAAGCTTTGCTTCGAGCATAGGGTCGACAGAAACTCACGTCATCCTGAGAGCCATCGTGGCCGCTGAGATCCCCGCGTATATATCGGCGATGAGGTCTTGTTGGCTTTGCACCGTCCCACTCGCTTGGTCCAGCGGAATCTCCTCTGGAAGTACAGAGGTGAGAAACTTGTGGAGCTTCTCAGGGCCTTGCACAAGGTTCGCAATCTTTGAGAATTCGGAAGGTTAGAGTCATCAGGTATAGGCATTGGCTTTTGCGCCACGGCCAAGGTAGAAAAGGACGAACTTACCGACCAGCGATAGCTGAGGAAGTCGCTTTCGCCGACATCCCTCCACACCGGAACCGCACGCCAAAACTCCCTTTCGAGAGTGGAAGGGGCCTGCTCTACAAGCCCGACACCGTGGACCTCAGCGGCGCCATTCTTCGACACACTCTGTGATATCAAGCGAGATCGACCTAAGCCGATGGCCACTTGTCGAGATGCGAACCGCGCTGACACTGATATGGTAGGCCTGAGGGCCGTTCTAATCAACGACATCGGAAGTTGCATTGCGGACAGATTCGCTGGTAGTTGAAGGGGGAATTTGTGTTGTAGTATGATATAGGTTAGGCTTCTTAGTTGAAACTGAAAGTGGTAGTCTATCGAAGAGTTAGCCGAGCCACTGCAACAAGTATCAAGAGATAGCTTCCTCCTCTCCTCTTACCTTGAGAAGTCTTTCCAGCTGCTTATGAGAAGATGGTCTTGGGGTCTAGCTAGGAAGAGAAGGGTGTGAAGGTCTTCCTGTCATGCCCTTTATATATAGAGATATCCTGCCACTGGAGCAGGTGGTCCCAAAAGTATAGCTCCAGTAGTGCTTTCTCCAGTCTATCCAGATATCCGTATTTTTGAGTCTTTATCCAGGATTGATGCCCCTCCTATTCACGATCCCGAATGCTTTGTACCTAATCGTATTCTTGGTCCAAATGGCAATGGGGCGCTGGTTTCCATAGTCTTTTTGACAGTCCTTCCCTAATCTATACACCTCTTTGGTATGGGGTGGCTCTTGTGATCCCTGGAGATCAGCTAAAATCGTCCCTGCCTCGGGCGTTTCCTTTAAGGCTCGTCGTCGCTTCCTGGAATGGCTAGATGTTCAAAGCCGGGGCACCCACTCCTTTCATTCACTCTCCGCCCAGTGTTAGAGTTGAATCCAGGGCGGGTCCTCTATTTTCTGTCAAAAGCATAGGATCGAGTCAGCGCCACTTCTGAATGCAAAACATCCTCGGTATGGTATGTGTCTGCAAGAATGGAACACGTTGGCCCCTGCCCCCTCTTCTTGACCATCTCTGACGCATTCAGCTGAATGCCTCTCAAGACACTAACCGCGTTGATTAACAACGTTGAAAGAGCTTCGATTGAGAGACTGGGCCGCGGCCAACACCTCTCTCTCTCTCTCCTCTCTCTCCCACCCATACATTCTACAAGCATGGAGACATTCATAAGAATAACAAAAGACTTGATTCTTGCAAATAGCCAGTGCTTGAACACTACCTGCCGTCGCCCAAGAGAGAGATCGAGGACGACAAGACACAAGACGCAGTCACTAAACCCACGCAGACCAATGAAGAGAATCCATCCGTTCTTTAGCCGCACCGTCGACTACTCACTGTGAAGAGGGCATTGCCTTTTTCTTCCTTTTCCTTTCCCACTTACAGGGCTATGCACTGCGTCCTTGAAAACGTACCTTGAGGCGGTCCCCTTGCAGGACAAAGATGGGCAGGCCCGGACGGTTTCAAGCCGCGACTTTTTTGCACAGTTCCCGGCGCAGTTTCAGTCGACGATAGTTGGTTCGTATAGCTCTCAGCAATCCCATGCCTCGACCGGCTCTTCAGAAGCTAGCTAAGCCTCAGGCTGGTGTTGTGCAATCTTACCCGAATGCCGTCTCAAGAAGCGGCTCCTGGTAGCGCCCTTTGCCTGGAGCTTTCCTCAGCTTCGAGTTGACACTGATCAGTGTGACAGGAGGAGAGGAATCAAAGAACGATCAAAGGCCGGACGGGTGCTTGCCTTAGTTCCCCGGGATCTAGAAAACAAGGGAGAAGCCGTCTTTTTATACGACTCTCTCCTCGTCCGCCTGCATAGGTCGTACTATGCCATTCCATTTCGTTCTCCGCGTCCGCGTCCGCGTCCCCCTCCTTCGAGAACGAGATAAAAAAATGAACGAAAAAAAGCCCTCTTTGTGTCGTTTCCAGGCGTGCCATTTGCCCCTCCGGACCATTTCAGTTACTTGCAGGCCATGTCACAGATACAAGACTTCCATCGAGGACCCCACGCTGCCATTTGCTGCAGCACCGACAAGTAAGGTTGATGCCTCAACCCTTGTCACATCATGCCAATACTTCTCTGGGGGTGCGGAGGAAGAGAGGGCTGTACACACATCAATCATCTTTATGATATCTGACAGGAGTGCTTACCATTCTTTTTCGGAGAAGGGAGGGAGCACAGAGAAGGAGGGGGAGGGGTTTTACCTGTTTGTCACTTGCACAGGCTAAAATCGGGACGTGTGCTCTGGAGCTCTTCTGACATGGGTGCTGTCTATCCACTGGCGTGACAGACGGCGGCTTTCAAACCCTTTACGGAAGCCCACCCACCGGGCCCGAGTGCTGAACGGACTGTGGCGGCGCCGGGTACCTCCCTGTTACCCAACGAGAGAGCCGACGCACGCCCACCCAGCTGGAGGGTAGAGACTCTGGCTTGCGTGAAATAGCTTGCCTCCCAACCCCACCGGCATGGCGGAACCGACTTCGGTATCAATTGACGGTTGCTGTCTGCCCTGGAGCTATTTCAGGTATCCTATAACGATGATTGGCTTTTATCCGACCCAGACCCGGCGATCGTCTCAACCGTCGCTATCTTCGGCCCTGTCGGCATACTTCTCGCTCTCGGCGTCTCGCCGGAGGTTCCTCTCCAGTGTGGACGGCGGAGGCACACGTGAGGACTATTTCCCTCAGGCGCGAGTGCACCCAACCTGGTTGCCTATCTATTAGGTTCTTTTCGCAGCGACTGATAATGATTCACGGCCCGTCCCATTGCCAAAAATGGGCAGACTTGCCCTGTTCTGAATTTGCTCCCCATTTTACGCCTCGGCTCCTCATTGCTTGCGCTTTGTGGGAAGCATGTTTAGGCCCGATGGCCTATTTAGCTCGCCGCGTAGACTGGCCCCCTATTAGGGCTTCTCGTCGCTACTTATGACACTAGCGGTGGATTTCCGGGAAGTTGGTCTAGAGCGCAAGCCCGTGGTCACTATTCATTTTTCCGGTCTTTTCTCGATCCCGTCAAAAGGTACCATCTTCGAGAATGTTCAATTAGCGAGCATGTGGGGGTGGGGCGGAGGTGGCCTTATCCACTGCCTTCTTGTCCGGCAGCTCTCCGAGCCGCTTCGCCCTGGAAAGGCAGCCTGCCTGCTGGCCCCCAGCTGTATTCGTTGCGGCTTTTCTATCGCCAGCAGCGCGTGCATGAGCACCGGGATCCTATTGAACTGGCCTCTCTAGCCTCGGGTCTTTACGGCCCAGATTCAACCTGAAGGCGTGTACTGTGTTTTGCCCACCGCCAGTGGAGAGGGCTTAGAAAAAGAAAGAAAAAGATTACGTGGAGAGCTAGCTCCCTCTCACGGCCAGCATCTTAGACGGTATCAATCGATCCAGCCCTTTTGTCATCTCACTTCTTCGCCGTGACCTTAGCCTCCTCGGGAGATTTGTTTGGTGGTCGAACCCGGGGCGTGCGTGGAATTGGGGAGAAAAGAAAGGGAGCTGCAAAGCTAGGAGCAGGCGATCCGCCGCCTGATATGACGAATCTAAAAGTTCATCCTTCTCAGATCCATGTGCTTCTGCGCGCACGTCTCACAGATCTTTGCATACAAAAATGTTTAGCCGCGGAGTCCTGGGTGACATTGAGAGGCCACCGCATCGAGTACTTGACGGCACTTGGCAAGCTAGCAAGCTTGGTGCAAGTGTTTTACCATTAGTTCTTTGGGGTTCAACTTCGTATCACTGCTTGGGGTTCAGGTCCAGATTCGCAGTGGATTTGCGCCAAATTAACAAGCTTGGATGACGGGCTTCTGAACGATCTCTTGTTGTAGCTGAGGCTGTAAGCTCCTTGGGCCCGCCACCACCCCTCTCGCCAGCCCTGAGACGACCCCTAGAGGTGCTTCGGGTGTTGAGCCTGCATCCTCTTCCTTGCTGCCGCTAGCAGGTCCCGCCCTCGTCCATCTAATCCACGCCAACCCATATGATAGGTTGGGAAGCTTCAACGTCACACTGGTCGTGGTGGGGTTTACGCTGCTGGCGACTTTGGGTAATATCTGACCTTGCTATTTCCTGTCCGAGCCAGTTCATCAAAGGCGGGGGATATAATCACACTACGGTATCGGCCTGGGCCTGGGGCTTGGTGCCGTTAGTATTGCTCTGTCAACGTTAACAACCAAGCTGAACTATGTGACGTGTGGGAGGCGGCCAAGTATTTGGGTGATTGTTACACGGTGGTTGGACTTTCGGCACTGTTGAGTGCACCGGCGTGCCAATATATTTCCAACAAACATGGGCATTGGGGTTTGTGTGGTGATCTGGCCCGGGAATCTGGCGTCGGCTCTCCGAAGGTGCTTCAAAGCTGTACATATGTAGGGTGAGTTTGCAAGGGCTGCTGATGGGGGTGGCTTGTTGAAGTCTAGACCAAGGTCTTGGTCTCCCCCAGTGGACGAACAAGCGGGTCCAATTATGTATGGCGGCCAGGGCCCAAGATGTCCTTGGCCGCGACACTGCCCAAGATGGGAACACCGAGTGAGAAAATCAGGTGTTATCGAACTTGCTAGCCGGGCCCCGGGCTTGCTCTGGACGGATTGTCTTTGTGCCAATGACGTTCTGGGGGTTAGACCTGCCCCTCGGCGTGACATCGGTTGCTGCTGCGATAGCTTGATGGACAACAATCGCACACGACCCGCAGGGTCCTCGCGACTCGACGCTACGAAGATTGCTTTGCGGTAGACCAAGGAAGTGACCTATCCTATTTCCTTGAAGCCTTCAGTCACACACTACTACTATCTTGGAGCATGGCAACGGTGTCTAGGGCCCAGGGGCGGCTGTATACGAAATGGGTTGTTTTATCGCTCCTAGCCCCCATTGGAAAATGCTATGGGGACACAACATAATAGCACTCACCTTGGTATTATATCTCAGCCCATTCTTTTCGGTGTTTCCTTGCTTTTTTCCCCTTCTCCTTGCTCACCGCACGGTATTGGACGCACTTCACGGGGCGAGGCTAGAGCTCGCGTAATCTAACGAAACGGACGGTACGAAGTTCAAGGCGATGGACGAGGTTTATGAATATTGCCTCAACTGCACTAGATCAAGTGGTGGTTGCCACAACCGTCGAGGAAAAAATGTCCGGTGCCTGGCTGAAACGCACCGGGGCCATCATGCGAGCCGGTTCAACAAGATATGATGTGCACATCGGGACGAGAAGATTTAGCTCACGCAGGGATAGGGTAGGATTGGGAAGAAGCCTTCAGACATGAAAAGGTGAAAAAAATGATGAAAAGAAAGAAAGAAAGAAGAAAAAAAAAAAAAAACCGAGGAAGGAACTAAGGAGGGGTGGCTCTTTCTTGATGTTTGGCTAAAGTAATAACAAAAGTTTATGAGTCCGGTATGTGGCACAAAGGTGGAGGAGCTGGCCAGCCCAATCTAGGCAAGCAGGCAGGCAGGTGGGCAGGTAGGCAGGGGGTGCGGTGTTAGTGGAAGGCGCGCCAGCTCCAAGTAGTTCTGGGGCCAACGCTCCGCCCCCATTAATCCATCTATGGATCTATTAAACCATGTTATCGTACTCTTTGATTTATCAATTGTCAACTGCCTCTCTTCATCTGTTAGCGAGGGCATGTTGTCTGCAGGAAACTCTACAAAGGGCGAGTCTCTTTTGGGGAAGAGCTCTAGGGTAGCAGTGTGAGTGATGAGCTCATGCCTGTTCCTGAAAGGGCAATTGCTGTCCGCTTGGAAAGGTGCGGGGATATTTACAAGGAGGTTGATGCACATGAGATCAAAATGCTCCCTGGCGACCCGCCAGCCACCACACACACGCGCAGCAGCCAGCGTGCGTGGCCGTCTGCGCTGCCCAGGCCCAACGTGGGTCTCACTGCTGGGATTGACATAATATCAGCAACCCATTTCCGCCAAACTTCTGGTTCTAGATTAGTTTTCATAAGAGCGGGGGAGGAAACCGTGGGGGAGGGGGTAGGGACGGGCAAAGCCCCAGGTTGTCCTTGCCTTCCCTCAACAATTTCTTTTCTTTTCCGAATGATGGACGGGTCTTGCGCTCTTGTTGGGGAGGTTCGAGTCTTGTTCAAAGAACGGTCCAGAAACCCGGAAAAGCAGCAAGGTAGGAAATCATGTTTCCTTCCTCTTCATATTTATCGAGCCTCGCCTCGAACTCCAAGCGCACAGGCGAAACTGGGTTGACGTGACACAACCTCGCTTGTCTGCTTTCGGCGGACGTGCTTACAACTGGACCGACATAACGCAGGTAAGAGGGTATCAGTCGACTGTTCCGGGTCCCCCGAACGGCAGGGCACTGCTAAAAGAACGCTGGAACGGGTTAGATCTGGGCCGGCCAACCTCTCAAGAGCGCTGGGAAGGGGAGAAGGGGAGAAGGGGAGAGGGGGAAAGTTGACGGGGTTAGCCCAACGTCTCTTAGAGATGGTGTGTGTCATCCAGGTTGGCAGTCGTGGTGCACAAGTGGTTTGTGGTTTGCAGGGGATAGCACTTGAGGAGCACCTCACTGCGTCAATCCGGGCCAGTTACAGCCTAGTGTTTGCGGGTGGAGAGAGCTGAGCGCTCCCGGTGCCCGCTCATCCCATCCCCCATCCCCCAACTGATCCCCCATCTCTCATCCCACTGCTGTTGGACCTTAGTCAACCAGGGCCTTCTCTCGGAGCCCACACGTTGGGCGGGCATGGGCGGGCATCCACGGGACTGGTCGGGGGACCGTTCTGCCCCCACCCTCTCGGATGCTCTATTCGGCCAAGGGCATTGATACTACCGAGGCAGAGCTTAAAAGAAGAGAGAAGAAAACCAAAAGAGAAAAAAAAAAAAAGAGGACAAAGAGAAATAGTGAAAATCATTTTCTTGTCTGGGACGGGAGGCGGGGATGGGTAACGGGCGTGGGAGGTCGCCGTGATGCGTGCGCCGTCCAGTGTCTTCGGCAGGCTGACAGATTGGGAAAGCGATGATGGGATGTGGTGGGTATGATGCCCATATCGCCAGGCTTTTATACCCCCGAATGGCCTAGCTTCACCTCAATCCGCAATCCGCGGATCGAAACACATGAGGTCCCTGCCAACCAGTAGGCATGAAATGTACACTCGCCCGGAGGGCTTGCTCTGCTTCCGCCACCTCTGAGCTGCATCGCTTCACCCTGCAACGCCCGAGAAATCGGTTTGTGTCGAGGCGACCATCAGCAACACCACAACTGTTCCCTTTCTTGTTTCCTAACATTTCTTTGTCGTCTCCTATGACGGCCTTCGAATGCCTCGGTCTCCTGTCCACCTTGACTTTCTGCCTAGTCTGCCTCTGTCTCTTCATACCTCTTCGCCCCGTAGTCTATGTATGGGTTGTCTACCTGCATGTGCGCATTGTCCCAGCCCGTAAAGTCTGTACAACAGCCGATCGGTTGAATATGAAGGTCAATGTCAAGTTCCGAAGGATACCTGGGATTGAGTTTGCTTTATCGTCTAAACTCGCGAAGGCGATGGGTAGGGCCTGTGGTGGCAGCACGCATCATCGAGAAAGACTTGGCAGTCCGAGTCCCTCGTCCCTCTATTTTTCTTCTTTTCTCCTTCTTCTTCTACCTCGGTAACAATTCACATAATGCAATGATGTTTTACAAGGGAAAAGGACTAAGAGGGGGAGGGGGTGAATGGAAGAAGGGGGTGAGCTTGAGAAGATACCCCCTCACACCCTTATACTCTCTGCGGATGTGTGTGTGTGCGTGTGTGTGCGTGTGCGTGCGTGTGCGTGCGTTTGTGTGCGTTTGTGTGTACTGTCTGCCTCGCGATCTATCGAGCCGACTTGAAGCTCGGGCAAGGAGAGAAGAGGCTCTCTTTCTCGGCTTCTGGCTTCTGGCTTCTGGCTTCTGGCTTTTGGCTTTTGGCTTCTCTCCCATGATATCGCAGCCACCACCACCCGCAGCACATTCTGTAAGCTGCCAGCTTGTGCCTGGGCACATCAATAGCAGGTTAGAGGCTTTTCTGAGGATCCATTGATGGTTTGCCACCGGCTCCTAGGTCTTGATATGTATCGAGGCAAACAACAACATGTCGAGTAACAACACAACCACGCCGGTGCTCAAACGCTAGACTCTGATTTTACTCACTCTCCTTCTCCCCCACCCCCTCTCCCATTTCTGGTGGCATTCCCGTACCCCGCCCACCGAACTTGCGGGTTTTCTTCTGAACAAGTAGCATCCTTCGTTTCCGTGTGCATCGGAGTCCGCCAAACTGCCCAAGCTGCTTCACGCTTGACACATACTGGGCAATCCCGGAGCGGGGCCGTGAGCAAGAGTCCATTTTCGGGGAGTTGGTGAGAAGGATTCGTGAGTCTTAGACCCTTTTGAGCTGGAAGGTTTGTGATGGTGAGCTGAGCCGGGGGAGGGGGAGGGTTGGGGTGTGGACCTTGGAGCTTTGCTTGCTTTCTCGCGCACGCCCCCTGCTTGCTCGCCCACTTCTATCTCGATGGGAAAAGGGCCGGGGAGGACAGGGACATGAGGTAGGGGGAGTTGAGATGAGGAAGGATAACAGGTGAGGAGCTGGAAAGCTCCTGGGCGGGGGCCAGGTTTGGGCAGCTTTCGCAATGAAAGAAAAGACCCTGTTGGTGAGCAATTATATCAAAAGGAATAGCGGGAAAAGCAGACTCATGCGGGGATCGAGACCACGACGACAACCTGACGAAAGAGCTGGAAGACCACAAGACACAGGCCGTAACATACGAGGCGTAAGTTCACGGAGGGCGTAGAGACGCGGGGGTAAAGGGAAAGAAAAAGGAAGCCGACTGGGGAATCGGACGGGAAAGAGAGAGAAGGCCCGGGCCGAAGAAAAATCAAATGTGATGAAAAACGATAAGCAAGGTTTGGCGGGGGAAAAATGATACAATCAATTGGGCACCAAAGCCAGCGACTCCAAGGAGCCAAAAAAAAAAAAAAAAAAAAGGGATAAAAAGAAACGAGATCAAACATAACTATAGTTACAAGTAGTGTAGTAGAGAGGGTTCCTCTATCAATCCATGTATGCCCGTGCCCCGTCCGATCCTGTCTATCCGCGGTCCCCTATCCCAGCCTCCAGGTGTGCGGCTTTAGACCTTGGAGGGGTTGTGTTCGCCGTTGAATCTACCCGCTGCCCGCCGCGTCTCTGTCGTATTTGTCCTTGGCGGGATCTTGCCGCCGATCATGTCTTTTGGATTCTCCCCCACCCCCTTATTGATCCCTTCAACTCTCCCCACTGCTATCGACGCCTGCTGCCCTGCTCCCCTGCACCCTCCCCTTCCCCTCTTGCAACATAGTGGGACATAGTGGAACATAGTGGGTGAGTTACGTCAATGCAAACCGAGACGGATGCGGCCCTTTCTGTATCCATGCAATGAACTTTTTCACGAGGGTTGCAAAAACAAGTGGGTACAGGGAGAGAGATGAGAAAATGGGAGCGAGAGTGAGAGAGTGAGAGAGAGAAAGAAGGTCGCCCAAGAGGAAGCAGAGAAGGAAAGAAGGCGGAAAGGGGGAGGTTCAGAGACTCGAGGATAGAATGGGATAGGCGGGGAGTCAAAAATAGAAATTTAGTCCTGGGCCTCGGTTCTCTTTGCGTCGCTTCCGTAAATAGCACTCGAGTCGAGCGAACACCTAGATCTTGCCCTCCTCGGATCGCATTCTCTCCCTCGCCTTCTTCTCTACCTCCCCTCCTTTCTGGTCTCCCCCTTCGTCTCCTCCCTCTCTCTGACTCCCACCCACTCCCAAATCTCTGGAAAGAGACAAGGCAAGGGAGGGGGTGAGAGTGAGAGGGGCGAGAGGATGGAAGCGGGGCTAGAGAGAACGCTGCACGTTTTCCCTAATCCACTTGCTACGACTTCTCGTGGTTAGCGCCCCACAGGTCAAAAGTTTTGTTTCTCCGTTCTGGGCCGGGTGCATGCTGCTGTGCCGGGTTCGGCACCTCGACACCGGCATCCGGGACGACGCTAGTTCGTCCCGATCGTGTGCCTGCGTCGCTTCCATCTCTGCCCAGGCCATCCCCGCCGCCGCCGCCGCTGCTGCTGCTGCTGCTGCTGCTGTGGTTGCGCTCGCCCTCGCTGCCATCATCTCCCCGGGAATGGTCTTAAACACGGTCTGGAAGACGTGGACGAGCCCAATACCCGAGAGGAGGCCGCCCATGTGCGAGATGATGTCTGCCTGAGCGACTTTAGAAGGCGCAAAGGCCGCGGCGAGGTTCCAGATCACGACGGAGACCAGGAACGCAACGCCGTCGACACCCTCGCTAGGCTCGGCGGGGAAGCCCATGATCCTAAACTTGTCCCACATGTGCAGCCAAAAGTAGGCTGCCGTGATGCCGAGAACGGCGCCGGACGCGCCGAGGCTGGCGACGTTGGCGGCGTGGAAGCACAGGCTGGAAACGTACCCGATGGCCCCCGACGAGAGGTAGATGCCTAAAAAGTTGGCGCGGCCCACCTCGTCGTGCAGCCGGTTACCAATGTAGTAGAGCACCGCCATGTTGAGCGCCATGTGCCCGAGCTTCTGGTGGGAGAACATGCTCGTGAGGATGCTGACGGGCTTAGGCATGCCCACGACGAGCATGAAGTAGCTATTGAGGAACCGCCAGAGCGGTGGAACCTTCCATAGGCCCCACACCGCCACGTTTAGCCCGATGAGCGTGGCCACCGTCGCGGCTGCGGGCGAGATCTCGGGGAATAGGCGGTCGCCTGGCTCCGGAGGGTTGTAGATCACGGCGAACCCTATGCAGGAACCAACCACGAGGGCGGCGAACGCGATGGAAGGCGCCAAGCGGTCCCACGTCGTCAGTTCGGGCGCATCTTCGATCCCGGAGGAGCCCTCCTCGAACCACTTTTGCATCCGGGGCTGACGGCCCCGCGCTCCACGTACGCCTCAATTGTCCCCGCTACCGGCTCCCCTGGCTCAACTTGTCCTGCTCAATTCGCTTTTCCTCCGCCTTGATGCGGGCCTGGTTCTCCGCCCTGATGGCGTCCAACGCGCTATAACCGTAGACCGGGTCGGGCTTGTATTCTACCTTGAGCTCCTCGCTCTTCTCCTCCGGTGGGCTGACCTTGGCGTCTGGGTCAGCGGCGGTGGTGACGGCTGCCTGAGACGCGTTGCCGCCCGCAGGAGGAGGGGTCGCCGGCGCCTTGGATGTCCCGGCCAACTCTCTCTCCAACTGTTCCAGCTCGTCCTGTGCCCTGAGTCCCGAATTCATCGTCTCATCCACAGGCAGCTTTTCCCGTAGATACATGAGCGCCGTGTCCTGTTGCTGTTTCGTGAACCGCGCCGTATTGGCCTTGTATGCCGGATCGTCGAGCGTACCCGCCACCCGTCGACCGTGGAGGATGCGGAGCAGGGTATTGGCGAATTCGGGTTTCAGCTTTGCGCCAAAAACCCGCGAGACTTCGGCCGGAGTCAGGTCCTTCTTCACAAAGGGCAACCCGTCGCGGTCGCGGTACGTGGGGGAAGTTCTTCGTACATGGTGAGGATGTCGCGTATCACGGGACGGCGCGGAGCCGCACCCGAGGGCCCTCCGACCGAGGGTCCATCTTCCTTGTACCACTTCACCCGCTCAAGCAGGCCCGGACGCTTTGGTGGTTTCGGCGAGGAGGGATTGGCGAGGAGGGGGACGCGGCGGAGAAGGAGCGAATCGTGGTGTGGAAGGTGTTGGGAACCCTGCATGAGCGGTGCCGGGACGCCGCGCGCGCGGATAGGGTCCGGAGACACAGCCTCGATGACGATGCTCCAAGAAGATTCATGTTTTTCGACTACCCATGAGGGCCCGCGTAGCGATTGAGAGTTGAGAAGCAGTGTCGGAGATCCGTCAAAAGGAAAAGATCCTTAAGAAAAAAAAAGAGGGAGGGACGCGGAGATCGGATCGTGCCGGACCGAGTGAGAGTAGGTTTTGGCACCTCCTATCGCGGAAGACGGCTGAAAGAATGATGTAGTGGTGAACCGAACGGCAAAACTGGGCTAGATACCGGATCGAGCCCTTTGTACGAAAGCCTCGCCGAGCCTTAAGTCGAGTCGAGGTGGGAGTCAAGGTGGTGAACTTGTCGATACCGCACCGTGTCGCGTTCCATTGAAATCACCAGATGCCGAGTCGGGTCGTGCGAGGAAGAGAAAAAATTACCAGAAATTGGTCTATGCGGACGGTAGGGGTGTATCTAAGACAAACACCCCACTTTCCCCCAGGCGGCCTTCCATGATCCACGCTTGCCACGCTGCCAGCGCCCTCTTCTCCCGCCTTCGCTGAGCTTCTCGAGCACAGCTTCAACAAACTCGGATAGAGGAAGAAAAAAATATCCACATTTATACGAGCACCTGCGAAACGTGCAAGAAGGCATAAAGCGGCGATAGTATTCTCGAAGCAGGGCCAAATATCCACCAAAGTCGAGCCGTGCTCTCTTTCCTTGGCGCACGACGATCCTCCTTCCGGCCGTTCACCCCGAGAATCCTCGGTCCCCGGATCTTCCTACCCGAGCACTCGTGCATTTGTGTGTGTGTGTGTTTGTATATACGTGCGCGTGTGTGTGAGGTGCGAGTGCACAAAGCAAAACGAAGCTTTGCTATCAGAGGGGTTGACCTGCTCCTTCATCTCCATTGCTCCCCCACCCTCCCGGAAAAGCGAACAAGAACAATGTCCGGCCCGACAGAACCCATCTCGCTCGAGCGCTTCGCCGAAGCCCTCAAGGACCTCCCCCTCGTCAGCCTACGCCTCAAGATCTTGGAAATACGCAACTCCGTCTCCCACCTCATATACTCCAACGCCGAGCTCAAGCCCTTTGCCGAGACCGACCCCCGATGAGGTGTGCGTCGAGGCAATACGCGAGAACGAAGTGGTGCTCGAGCGCATGGCGGGTCGGATTTCTGCCCTCAAGGCGGAGGTAGAGACGAGGGGGAAAAGTGGGAGGATTTCGAGGCCGGCGTGTTCGAGAGGGACCCGGGCGATGATGAGGAGCAGGACCGCGGTGTCGTCCCCAATGGAGACGCGACGACGGCGAACCAAAGCGCAACGACCGACAGGTCCCACCCCGCCTGGAGCGACGGGACGTTCCAGGTCGGCACAATCCGCGCGGAGCCAAACACTACCGGGGGCGGGGGCTCATTGAGCGACGCCGATCTGGCAAAATTAATAGAGGAGCGGATGAGGGTGCTTGAGGCTTCCGATGATGAAGGGACGGACGCCGGAGGAGAGAATGGCCTGCACCTTTGAACAGCAGATGTAAACCTAACTGCAGTGATAAGGAAAGGGGATGGAGTGGTGGATCCGGGAGAAGAATAAAAATTGCGTCACTTGAAGAGGATGTAGATACCCAGCGCCGATCCACGTTAAAAATCGTCGAGTAGAGAGGAAATATCGTTAGTCTACATGCATGATCGGCTGGCTAACGTCAGGCACACCCCTCCTACCGCTTGTTGTTGGTACTAGATGTATGGCACACCTGGTAAACAGGGCCGGGTTATCCCCAGCCTCATCTACCCTGGTCGTCGTTTCCAGACGAGGCTTCATTTGCTTGGAGCGCTGGCTAAAGGGTCAAGTCATGGCCCCAGGGCAACATTTAGTAGACGCCGCTGGAATTGATACCTTGGAACAAATAGGCTCAAGCACATAATGAGTTGATATTTGAGACAAATGGAATCAATTTCACTATCTAGCTTCAAGCACATGTAGAAGCCTGGGCTAAATACAACAGAGGACCGTGACTAACAAAATGCAGGATCCGGAACTTGGGTTGCGTTTCTCGCAACACGCCATTTTGTGAACATGTCTATATTAATGGCCGGCAATGGGAAGACAGAATCTCCTCTTCGCGGCTCTTTTTCCTTTTTGTTGTTGTTTTTTTTGTTGGTGTTGGTGTTTATTTCCCTAGAGCGTACCGATGTTTCCGCCTGTTGTCAAGAAGACCAAGAAAGCTCTGCTCCCACTTTTTGTTCTGAACGATTCCACTCGAAGCAGGCAGTCTCTACTGCGAAATTTGCAGCCGCACACACGTCCCTTGCCTCCAAACGCCGTTGAAAGCCCACCCTTTTGGCAAGTTATGATACACCACCGCAGAGGAGCTGGGCATATGGTTGCCCTGCTAGACCACTAAAGAAGCGGTTCGGCTTGGTTCGGAACACAAACAAGTGAAAACAAATGTTGCAAGTAAGAGGAAAAGAAATCAGAAATCCATTAACAGCGGCGTGGCTGCCCTCTGGTATGGGCGAATCTAGTTTTCGCATATCGTACAGTACCACGGTGAGGGAGAAGGGTGTAAGGGTGAAGAAAAGGAGGAGCTGAGATGGAGAGTTTGGTCCGTTTGCCTATAGAGTGCAAGGGGCTGACTCGAGCACAGCTGGTTGTCTCGCTGACACTACCCGGATCGCTCCTTGGTTTAAACGTCCCATTCCTGCTCCTGCTCCTCTTCCTCCTCAGGGCCTTGGGTGCTGAGGGCCGAGAAGGATCCGTAGTTCTTGGTGATGGCAGGCTTGCCATTGGGGGCCTGGGTCTTTTGCACGGGTTCGGGGGCCTTGGTAGGTTCGGATGCCTTGGATGGGGCCGCCGCCTCCACTTTTCATCGGCCGAGTTGGTGGCCTTCTTAGCCTTCTTGGCCTTGGAGGACTTGACAGTGTTCCACTCATCGGCCTCGGCTTCAGACTTGAGCCTCTCCAATTGTTCCTCCTCGGAGGGGAGGGAGGAGATCCAGCCGTCGGCCTTGGCGGGCTTAGCAGCAGGGGCCGGAGCGGGCTTAGTAGCGGGGCCTGCTCAAAGGTGTCAAGGAGCGGCGCGGCGACAGGGGCGGGGGCGGCAGGGGCAGGGGCCGTTTGGCCGTTAGGCTTGCCGGCAGTCCAGGCAGAGCCGCCATTCACCGAGGCCATGAACTGGGAGCCATCCTTGGCCGCACGTCCCTCAGAGACACGGGCAAGACGTCGCTGGGCCTCCATCAGCTTCTTGCGCTCAGCCTCAGCCTCGTCATTGTCAGCCTTGGCATTCTCGGCCTTCTTGCGGTTCTGCCTCTGCTTCTTGGTCAGAGCGGGCTCAGGAGCCTTCTTTTCCTTCTTGGCTTTCTGGGTCTTCGGGGTCTCGGAGGGCACAATGCGGAGGCTAGCAGGTCCATTGGCAGGGGTCTCGAGCATATCGCTGACATCGCCAGCATCGGCAGCGGTGACCTTGGGCGAAGAGGCGGGGGACTCGTCATCGTCGGCGTCAATTCCAGCAGTAGAAGATGGAGGAGAAGGTTTGGCATCGTCAAAAGCTTGGACCTGAGCACGCGACTGCTTGACCGACTTCTGCCTCTTCTGTTCGCTTCCACTCTTGGCGACAAACTGCTTGCCTTGCTTCACGCTCGATAGCTGTCGAGCGAACTCTTTATTGTTGAGCTCGTCATCGCCATCATCCTTGGCGGCCGGCTTGGACACAGAAGCCCCATTGCGCTTTTCGGCAGCGGTAGGTGCAGGTGCGGGTTTCTGGGAAGAAGCCTCTTGAGCATATTGCTCAACACGCTGCTTCTTGGCCGATTTCTTATCCTTTCGAGGCTCTGGGCTCCGGCTCCGAGGGGCCTTGCTAGGAGGTGCGGCCGGTCCCTTCTTGCCCTTTTGGGTGGAATAGTATAGGGTGAGGCCAATGGCAGCTACCGCGACATAGCCACCAACGGTGGTCACATATGAGGACGAGCTCATATTCTCGATTGTTAGACAGCTCCTGGAGGTAGGGGATCAGGATCGCAAGATTGAGTAATGAGCACCGATTTCTATATAGAATTAGAATGAGTTAGTTTCTCCTTTCTAAAATGCCAACATGGGTCAAGGAGAACTTACCAAGGTAGCTCTACCACTAGGCGACCGAAGAAACAGCGCCGGAAAGAACTTAGTCCAGGACAATGGACACTAGGAGATGGCAAGGGCAAGAAAAGAAAGAGGATGAAGGCTATGAATGCATCGATAGAAGCATTCCTTGATAAAGAACTCTGCCCTTTATCCGAGTTGGCAAATGAACAGAGGAGCTGCTCTCAGGCCAAATAGCTTGCAAGCGGAAGGAAGCTATTGACCAACCGTACTTTCCTTGAAGCAATGCACACAGATAGGATCACAAGGCCTATCTGCTAGGAAAGGAAACAGGATGTTTCAATATGGAAATGGCGAGAGAAGGATGATTGTTCAATCAATTGACAGGAGGGTGCGGAAGAAGGATAGAAAGAAATTCCCTGGACGTGTGCTGATGGACGTGTTCAGATGGGTCTTGGCAGTAGGGGGCAGGGGGCAAAAAGCAGAGAAACGCCAGGTGTCGGCTTTGCAGTCGAGTGCCCTTGCAAGGTTCTGTTCTCGGATAATCCTCGGATTTTAGCCACACCTAATCTTTCAATTCCACCGAGGAAGCTGCCATGGCTGCTTCCAGACGCCATGCCTCCTGGAAACCCCCGAAAAGAAAAGGGGAGAAGGAAAAAGAAAGGAAAAGGGGGCCCTTGAGGACACGACTCTCAATAGATCCATCAATCTGACCATCAACGTTATCGGATCCATCGGGGATTAGCTCCCCTCCTAACAACAAAAGAAGAGGAAAGGGGAGAATGAGTCTAACAACTGTAAACCACTCCAGCAGCCCAAGCTCGCATCGAAACACGAAATCAAAGACTATCACTAAATCGAGCACGAGATATTTCTTTCTCTCCATCAATGGATCCAAGAGGATCACTTGACGAGCCATATCAGCTATTCGTATAGGCCCGCGCAATAAACTCTAGCTTACCCCTATATTTCCAGCGGCCGAAATCATTTGCCACCTCCTGAGATATCCCAGACAACCAATCCATCATATTCCATGAATGTTCCTTCAATCGCGGTATCAATTGAGGCATCACAGGTCTGATATGTAACTATTAATCCTCCCTCCAGCTCTCTACGAGTAGTTTTCTCTAGCTTAGGTGCATCCTAGAGGGAAAGCTGGGAAGAAGAGACCTTGATTCTTGGCGAAAGTAGAGGGAGTACGTGAACATACGAGTCGGGTAGGTCCTGACTGGACCCATCAAGCCGAATTGCCGGTCATGACGGCAATGGCACCTGCTTCTGAGACAGGATTAACACATGGGCTGAAGTGCATCTTAAAGGGGCCAGAGTTCCTGCCGCGGGAGCTGTGTGAATCGAGAGGGAGACGAGGAAGAGGAGGAGCTTGAAAACGAGGGCCAATAAGCGTGTGAGCTTCACAGAATTATGAAACCTAGGAATCCCTCTATTGCCAGTGATGAACCGTGTCCTTTCCCCAACTTGCGTGTTGTTAGACAGAGTGGTTTTCTGTGCAAAGTAAAGGGGCTACTGCTCAATAGCTGAGGCAAACGCACTGGGGAACTGGCGACTGATAACAACGGGCTCATATCTTTTACCAATCTTGAGCGTGTTGACGTGAAGAGAGCGATATCAGTTGAGCATGGGCCGCCGTTATTCACCAACTCAAGCGTCAATACTGGAGCTTCGCCATCCGGACCCCCACTGGAACACCCCCGTGGACAGGTCCATCTACAAGTACCCATCAATGATTGATTCTCCCATTCAGTCAATCCACTAGACTGGATTCATTGAACACTGCCAAAAGGCATCAAGTTTCCTAGCTTCGACTCTAAGTCCTCAAGCCTGCCTCGCTTACTAGGGAGTGAGGTTCGGACTCTATATGTAGGCCATGTGAAGCATGTTGAAGATCGATCCATAGACGGAGATCGCAGATTATCGCGTCAATCGTAGAAGCCTCAGCTCGTTGCTCCAGTGGCCTAAGGTTGAATTGTATCTTCATCTGGAGGACTTGCTATCCCACAATAGGCGCGCATCGCATCAATCCAGGCCAAGGAGATTAGACCAATGATAGATCTATCATGGATCTATTGGATCACCCAATTCCAAGGCTTTTATTTGGTCTGCTCCCAGAGCAAGGCTCACACGACCCCACGACCCCACCTCTCCGATGACAAAACAACCTTGAGCATGCTTGATCTCGTGGTGCCAACTCCATAGCAATGTCACACAGCAACTGATCTCTACTATCACCTTCCCGGACTGGATTAATGCATGGTGCTCCTATCTTACTTCCTAGAAACGGTGAATAAAGCTTGTCAGCATCCTCCAAAGTTCAAGAGAGGGCATCTCGGGACAGTTTCGACCCTTTGGTAATAAACCAGAGCCATAAATTTGTTCCTTGCGGCACGCACCGAATCACCGAAACGAATTCGCGACCAGTGCTTAATTTTCTTTTTTTCCTTCTTTTTCTTCAACTTATATTTCCAGAATAGTTATCGTGCCGGCTTGCATACACAATGGCGCACAAGAACAGAATCATTATCGATACTGATCCGGGTACGATTTGTCCTTCCCGTCGGTCGTCTATTCAGCGTTGTGGGAACTGAACCCCTCCTCGGAGGGCTCCGATATCTACTTCGGCCGACTACCGAATGCCCCCATACCTCACGTAGGGTCTGTTTTGCTAATTAAGGAAAGAATAGGAGTGGATGATATACTAGCCATGCTGCTAGCTCTGTCCTCCACACCCGAGGAACTTGAGGTTCTGATGATCTCCGTTACCTATGGCAATGTTCCCCAACAGAGGTACGACCCCGCTGACCCCGCGCATCCCGCCATGGCAATTCTACCACACACCCGCGCTAAGGCCTTTCGACCTTGATTAAGCCTGCTTATACCGGTATCACCAACTCTTTAGCTGTCTACGGAATGTAGTTTCGCTATTCCATGTTCTCGAAAAGGAAAAGGCCTGGAGGCAGGCCAACTCCAAAGCGGCCGGCTTTGAAACCATGGGAGCGTTTAAGCCTATCGTAGCCGTGGGGCCAGAACATCCCCTCGAGGATGAAGCCCTGATGGCGGACCATTTCCGTGAGCGGTTACCTTCATGAGTCTGCCACCACTTTGGCGTGTTTCAGCAGCCCCTAACATTTTACCAACTAGATGGCGCCGACGGACTGCACGGCGTCCATGACCAGTATCCCCACCTATCTCCTCAGATACGTGGAAGTCACTCTTCCACGAGGACGGAGACCAGTTATCTGAATCTGAGCTTGACACGGCCTCTTTTATTCCTTCCAAAATCCCTGCGCACAAGGAGATTTTGCGGTTACTGCGTGAAAACCCGGTGGACACGATCAGTATTGCCGTCCTTGGGCCTATGACCAACATTGCTCTCGCCGCCGCTGAAGACCCCGAGACATTTCTGCGAGTCAAGGAATTGGTAGTCATGGGTGGGGCCGTTGACGTGCCTGGAAACATCACTCCCTTAGCCGAGTTCAACTGCTACGCGGATGCAGTTGCTGCGGCGCGGGTATACGCCCTGACGTCGGCAACTCCGAAATCCACCATGCCTCCAATTCCAGAGCGCATCGCCTCACTTCCGTCATATCCGGAGAATCTCTCTCGTCGGCTCAAGTTAACGCTCTTCCCCTAGATATCACGGAGCCTCACCTTCTCTCCAAAGACTTTTTCGCCGAGGGTGTCCGCCAAGGCGTTGAGGAGGGCAGTCCGCTTGCGCAATGGGTAAACCATTTCCTTTCGAAATCTTTTGAGAAGATTGAGTCCATGGTCGGTCCCGGTATTGAACCTGGCCTCTCTCTCCACGATCCCATGACCATTTGGTATCTTCTTACCCAGTCGGATCCCGCATGGAGGCCAACATCTGAACCGGAAGATATTCGCGTCGAAACGTGTGGACAGTGGTCCCGTGGAAAACACATTGTAGACCGGCGTGGTCGCAAAAAGCCCGAAAGCAGCGACATTGACAAGGTTTTGGACGAAAAAGTGCAATTAGACGCCCTGATGATGGATGAGGTCCCGGGCGATGAGCACGGTTGGTTGAGCTCGAGGAGAGGAAATAGAATCAATAGGATGGTGGCGTCCCCTGGTGAGAAGGTCTTTGCCGGGTACATTATGAAGCGTATCTTTGGATAAAGCCACCTCTTACCCTCTCTGAATTCGGTAGCAGGGGAGCTGGGCATCAAGAGCAGCATCAAGCTTCTCTGCGGGCTCAAGGGCCTGAAGCCTAGCTTTAAACGGAGAGGGACAGTATGAATATATTCGTCATCATTTTTTAAACAGAAAGAAAAGGAATGAAGAATGAGGCGCTTCATACATAGTGGCTCTACCAACCCATACCATAAAACGCCGTCTGATGCAAATTTGATGTTGTCCACAACCAACCTCGAAACCAAAGAATCAAGACCCGAGGAAGTCTATGATAACCACTGGCCGGACAACCCTACCATAGCTCGCCACACCATCGCCGTCTCGAGGACGGGAACTAAACAGCAGATTTTATACGTGCTTGATCCCTCCGATCGCCGAGCCCTTGACGGCGCTCCAATCGATGCTCTCGTCTAACTTCTCGTCCACAAGCCCTACTGTACAGACATTGTCGCCGCGCACGAGGTACAGCCCCAAGGGAACCTGGACTGATGGTTCGTCATCGTCTGGTGTCCGTATTACTCTCTCATGAGCATCTTGCAAAACCTATAAAAGGAGAGAGGATCGAGATAAACCGCACGCGTTAGTCTCCCAGGTTCTTGTAAAACAGCAAAGCAGATTTGGGGAAGATGGATCTCGAGGTGACGAACAAGGTTGGTATTCTGGTCGGTGGCCACGAGGGTGCCTACTAGGTCCTTGAATCGGCGGTGACGATCAAAACTTTCTCTGTGCTTGCGCGATTAGCTTTACGGCAGTCAAGAGGGGAATGGTGGGGGAGGAATTTCGAGAGGAGATTTTGGTGGGGAGCGGGGTGAACGAACTGTTCAGAAAGCCGCCTAGGGTGGCCATTGTGCTTGCTGATGGTAGATTGAGGCTCGCAGTTTAAAGGCGCGCTTTGGGGGAGGTTATGTAGGAATAAGGAAAGACTTTGTTCAGTTATACCCACACTGCCTGGCGAATTCAGAATACAACTTTTCGATGAACTCGAAAGTGGGATGGGCGGAAGCTCTCCCATAATTAATCTTAGGCCTTGTATGTTTGAGGAAGGCGGTCGAGCTTGCGCAGAGCAACTGTCCACAGATGCCTAAGGCTGGAGCATCAAACCAAACGAAATGGCCGCAAGGTCAGGAGACGTGCATGTTTAAGATTGCATCTCTGGTCTTGCTTGATAGAGCTCGAGTATCAATTCAGTATTAGTTAGAAATAATGAAATGCGAGTTTTCTATTTTCTGTTACATCTATGGATCTATCAAATGTAGGACCGTCAAAGCCTCTGGGCGCCATCGCTTATCATGGCTCAGAACGACAAACGTTATATCACAGGTGCTCACACTGTGGGGGTGATTCGGGTTGGAAACAGGAAACTTGATATTTAGGAGTGTTGCCTAGCTGTCGTATATGATACATGAATAGATTTTTGTGTTGTTTTCATTTTTAAGTAAAAGGAATGACAGAAGCAGTTGTGAGAAACGCAAGGAACAATACATGTCGGTTGGAACCTTGAGAGGTTACGAATTGAGGTCATACATTTTGGCTTCTAGCGAGAAGCAAAGGCAGGCGGAGGTCGGTCGCATTCCTGGAGGAATTTGTAGATACCTTCTAGCCCTTCGTAATCTTGTGATGCATAGTCGAAGGAACTGGAATGGGGAACTGATGAGACGTGGCATTCTGGGTCAGAAAACCAGACATTGTCCTCTAGCTCCATGAAGGCTTCCTCGACGTCTTCACTGTCCATGGAACGAAGGGAGTCCCTCGGCGAGGCCATGGAATGGGACCCTTCGCTCCCCGGCGCAAAGGGAAATTTTAAAGCAACTGGCACACCCATTGAAAGTGCAAAGTCAGGATCCTCTCCAACGGAGCCACGCTGCACACCCAGGTCATCGCACAGTCGCTCCAGCGTTCCTGCATCGACTCCGGGAACCGTACCCGGAGCACATTTGGCTTCTCCATTTTCACAGGAAGATCGCCTAGAGCTGCGATTCGCTTGATGTCTGAGAAAATGATGCTGAGATCCTTGAAAGCCCTCGCAAAATCTGCGGCGAGCTCGTTCAACATGCCTTCCTGGCTGAGGCTCCCGGCAAACGAGCTCGGCTTCTGGGGCTGCTGCCAGGCGATAGCCGCAGACTCAAAGGGGAAAGTCGACGCGAGAGGACTGAGCGCGGTGATGGTGGGGCTGAGGTGGAAGTCGACAAACGATCCCGGTGTGGTTTTGGTGCAGGAATATAGCTGTCGCGCGGCTTCATCCTCAAGATCCGACACCGCACGATACTGGGCGCGACCCTGGGCGTCGACACCGTTGAAGCGGGCTCGTTGGCCTGAAGTCCAGAAAGCCCTTACCGCAGCCGACACATTATTGATGACTTCCGCAGGGGCCGCTGGGCTATGGGAAAAGTAGCGGGCGCTCCCACCCCCACAGTATATCCTCCCGCGGTTCGTGGAATTGCCCCTCCAGTTAGGTTTGGCCGGAGGGTACTGGCGAACGGCGCTTGGCCAGTGAACCGTGAGAGGCGAGTAGATGTTTTGGAGGTTGGGAACTTGCTTCTGTCGATGCGTAGACGTGCACCGTTGGTGTTGGCACCATTCATAAACTGCCGGATAGTGCCGGCAAGGTGTTTGTGTACGTTTGTGTGATGCCATCTCGTTAGACGCCGCGACTGGCGAATGGCGGCGATGGGATGGATAGCTTGCCTTCCGGTCGAGGCGGTCGGAAATCCAAATAGTTGGGCTTGATTGTGTAGCGGTTTGGCAGCGTTGGCCACCCGCGCTCGTACAGCGGCTGTCGTCTTCACCACAGCGACCCGGAGGAGACGCATGGCTACTGGAGCCCACATCCCCCCACGGCAGCCATCATGGAAATCGTCCTCGGAGCTCTGGCCAACTGGCGAGGGCGTATGAGGCCGAATATAGCACGATGAAGGAACCTCGAGGCTATGGTTGACTCAAAAAGATGTGTAAAGGGGAAAGAGGTCATGCCTAGGAGCCGGGCGGAGGCCGCCTGAAGAGCGGGTGGAAACGGATTACGCAAGCCACCCCCGACCCGGCTTGCCCCGCAATTGTGGCGGGAAAGTTGAGTGGGCCATCCGGGGCTTGTCAACTGTATGTCTTGTGGGTGGCAATCAAGGCAATCAATATGATTAGTCATCCAAAAAAAACTGAACTGGAGAAACTGTCGCTCAAGAGAAAAAGGCACTCCGGAGTGCTTAGTCATCGATATTAGAACACCATAAACGCCAAAATTTTGAGCTCTCAAGTCGAAAAAAACCTTCTTCCACAACCACACAGCAGAATTGTAAGTAAAATTCCCTTGTCCCGTTCCACGATGGATTTTTCTTCTTTCCACCCTGGAGAGGGTTTCCCTGATGACCAATATTCATGAACAATCCAAATCAGACCAACAACATGGTGATAGTATTCTAGCTTTAGAATTACACTGAGAAACATTCTGTTGTCGCCGCTCTTGGATTCGAGTTGAGATTCTTGGAGGCTAACCTTCTCTCAGTCTGCCACAGTGTAGTGTAGCTAGCCTACCATGGAGATTCGTATTGACGATCGAGGCAGGACTGAGCGTCTTTCTGTTTACACATAAAAGGTAGGGTGTTGCCCGCTCGTTTTCTTCGCTTGAACCCCCTTCTTGCGCATTACCCCCTCATCCCCCTCTCTCTGGATGATGAACATTCACGACACAGGGATTCCTCATGCCGAAAACACGATGTGGAGCCAGTTGTTTAGTTTCAGCCTTGTCTGACCAGAATTTTGATCTTGAACTCTTGTTTGTTGCACTTGTTTACTGCGAAAACATAGCTAACAAGATTACAGGTAGCTATTCTTTCTTTTTAGGGAAGGCGCTCGATGTTTAGAAACTACCAACATGATGAGTTTTGACGAACGGGCGGACATATTGAGCAATGTCATTGTCGCCGTTAAAAGCAAGACTGTACAAACCCTTGTGGCGGCAACTGGCAGGACCTCTGGATGAGAAGTCGTCTCCTGATCTTGGATGAAGCGAGCCCTGTGTTGGTTTACTACGTTGTCCATATCAACAAAACACTAACTCGGCATACTGGTCATCTCTTTAGGTATGCCAATATATTGACTTGATATCCTCTGTTCCGAAAAAATGCCAGCAATGGCTGGTCGGGTCGATGGCGGGCGAAGCAAGTGATGATCCGTTATTCACACTGTTTGACTGGCAACTTACCCGTTGTTGGACATGAACACAACATATCTCTTCTGATGCTTCTGATGTGCGTCTTGATTCCATCAACACATTGACTTGCTTGCGAATCGTGCTGACTAGCAAGTAGACGCAGTTGATGTCTTGCTGGGCTCACGTTGTGTGGCAACGCATTTGACGGTCTGCTAACCTCGTTGGTTGATGTAGCTCACCTGTATTCTCATTACACGTAGTTTCAAAGGCTGACAGAATGTAAGTATATGGTGGTTTCCGTTCTTCTTCATCTTTCTTATTCCGGTATACCCCCGACTATCCTGATGACCCTTTATTAGCTCTAGCTGAGTTCATCTTGATGACAAACTTTTCACCTTGGAGAACTGATATTGATAGTCCCCACCACTTACGATTTCGCACTGCTATAACTGTCTGTTGGACTGGCAAGCTGACTTCTATTAAGCGTATTATAGGTTCTCCATTTTCAAGGTGCCCACTCCTTGTCTTACGGATGCCATTTATGACTGTCCTGGGATATCCACATTAATCATTGGGAGACGCACGGTGAAGTGACCATGATGCGCGTCTCAGTCCCTTAGAAAAAGAAATGTACTTGACGCCTTACCTGGCGTCCAAGTCCCGTCCCAATGCGTTGAATAAATTAATAAATACTGTCAAAAATTTGGCCTCCACGGGCTTTTTCATTGCTCAAGTCTTCAATTCCCTTGTATTACGTGAAGTGGAATCGATGGGAGCTTTTTTCCCTCCTGAACTCCAAGTGGTTCACTTAAGACATGGCCGTGGGGCTAAAAATCTCAGATGAGTTGGGGCATCCGCAAGGTTGAGGAGATCGAGCACGAGCAACGCCACGGGGTTGTCCGAAGCGATGAACCAGGTGGCTGTCGGGGGTAAGGCCAGGGATCCGCGGTGCTTGGTGGTTGTAATTCGACCGCGGCACTGGAAAACATGGTTGCAAGCAAGGGCGCCATGGCCATGAGGATGGATGTTTCGTGCAGCCCTGGGAAATTCGATTGATCAAGCTAATTTCCGTGTCGTTGACCTCCATGCAGCCAGAGTGCAACCTCGGTCCTGATAGAGAAACTACTTTTGAACAGGCTATTCCCCGTTTTCAAACGGTTCTTGTTCTCGCAGACTTGGGAATGTTGGTTTGTACTTGCACAATCATAAATCCCTCCATTAGGAGTGGGACCTCCCGGGATATGCACTAATTGGTGCAAATTTGTGTCAATGTGATTCGCTCTTTGGACAAGGGGATGCAAGGTGTCGATTCGTGCTGACGGTCGCAATTTGTCCCATTCAAGAGATCGATGGATCTATCCCTGACCTCATAATCTGACTGGCTCCGGCATTTTTCGAGAACTAGCCCATTGCCCCTGTGCAGACTCCCTGCATCAATCCGTCCTCATGTCCACTCGCTCCGTGCTTCACCCGTCTTGACATCTGGCAGGGCAGCTTGGGCAGTTCACATTGATCCCATCTTCCACCCAATTGCGAGAGATGCAAGGACCCCACAAACGAGAATTCCTGCTCTCATATGAATATTCTGGAGGACTACTAGGAGCGTAGCCGACCTACACTCCATGTACGGATAGGAAGCCGCAATCAAAGACCCATTCTTGGTTGACGGATGGAACAGAGACGTGGAGTCGAGGCATCGGCAATGTACCTTAGTACCCGACTCTTCAATGCGATACAATCAGGGACAGTGAATTGGAGGACTGATCCTTCCCCCTTGGCCTTGAACACCCCTTTGAAAGGTTCCATCTGTTCCAATTTTTCCCTCCCGTTCCTGTCCAGCAAGAGTAGACCAGGGTATGCCGTAGATATTGATCGGTATTCCTCCGTGTTAGATGGGGAAGCTATCCATCACTAATCTGCGAGGGGAAAACCGAGTGAATTAGGAAACCCTTGAAGAAAAAAAGAAAGGGAAAACGGAAAAGAAAAAGGAATGCGCGCGCAAGCAACCAATCCGCCATACATGCCCTCACCACCATCCGATGTTTGTGTTTTGTTTTCCTCTTGCAACCTTCCCCTTTTCGTGATGCAGAGCACTTTTATTTCTTCATCCTTCGTCTGGCCGTATTAGACCTGCTCTTGCTATTATTTTCTTGCCCTGTCAATTTAATGCTAGGCTCCGCCGCGAGCCATCGAAACTTGGTCGGTATCCTCGTCAAGGTGTGTCATCGACGCTGACCCCTTTTTGGTTCCTCTTCTTTTTTTTTGGCCCTTTACCGAGACGACACTACCTTCGATATCCGTGGTGTGATTGGGCCTTGGTGTGATCATCGATACCATTCTTCTGGTTCAAGCGCCTCTTGTTCCCACGGGAATCCGCATTAAACCAATACTCCGGCCCCTCCCCAAGGAAAATCTCAGACTTTAACCTGGCCAGGTATTCAGGTCTGCCTTGTTTCGGTGTTGGATTACCCCCGCCCACGGACTCCTATTGACGGACAACACCTCCCCGAGACCACTTTGCCTCAGGCGGGCGACATTTGCGGTGTGGCATTCCTTACTCGGTGATATTCATGCTCCTCACTGCCAGCATCTCCTGAGACTCGAGAGGCTTTGCGCTCTTTTTTCTTTTGCCTCCACCTCTGTATGCAAACCGGCTTCACCTGCAGTACAGCCCGAGTCGAAACCACTCTTTAGCGACCCGCAAACTTCGTAAAGCTGCTGTCTTGCGTCCGCCCTCGCCCCTTCGCTCTGCACTCTGCATCCTGTACCGTAGCGACCCGTCGCGTTCAAGGCGGCATCTAAAGTATCTACTTATCGACCCTTTCCGATCGGTTATCGGAGAATCGCGCGAACACCAGTGTCTCGTCACCACACCAAGAAAGCCTCTTTTCATCTAATCCATACTTCGACCTTGGTATCTACCACCCCCGCTTCGATCCTTGTGACGATTTTCGACCTACGAGATTCGTCGATGCTTGACGCAGGTCTAATTTATCCACTGTGGAGGAAATACAGCCACTATCCTGCATGCGACCAGTGGTGGACGGCACAACCAGAGACGGTTAAACCTTGAAAGTCGGAACCGCGCCGCCCTGATCTTCTAGTGCAGCCGAGGAAAGGTATAACATATACCTGGAGCGCTGGCCCAAGGCTAAGCCCTTCAATTCATCCAGCCCATTTGAGTCCCACACCACCTCGCAACTAGTTATCCGATTAGATCCCCTTCTGCCGACTCGCAAGCAGTGCCAGTTTCCTCCCCCTTCAAGTCCCGGCCCGCGGGCAACTCTTTCGAGAATGCAAGCCGAAACGATCTTCGCCGATGACTTCGAGCCACGGGCACCTGGCTCCATGCCAGTGATGCCATACCCACCTCTACCTGCCTCGCCCACCCTCACGAACCCTGACATGATTTTACCCGAGTACGAACGAAGCTCCTCCCCCGATCGGTCACAATCTCCTCTTCACATGTGGAAAGTGCCCCTCACGCTGGCCGATATGCAGTACCACATGCCTCTACAAAATGCGTTCCCCGCTGGCCCCATTACTCCTACAACCCCCATCATCTATGGGAATGGCACAATGTTGTCTGATATCGGCGAGGTGACCGAGGTCGAAAGCGCCGCTGGCGGGAATTCGCTCCCAGCATCCCCGGCCGCTTCCGCCTCGTCAATCGTAACTTCGCCGAGACCGATGTTGTTTTTCGCTCATCCCCGACGATGGGGGAGAGGGGTATCGCCGAGACGACGGTAGCCAAACCACGCCGTAAAGCCACGACACGCGAACGAAGCGGTTCGATCGATTCCACGAGCACCGTGACGACCGCAGAGAGGCCCAACGTGTTTGGCGACTTTGACGATGCTGTGAGCGTGGGCGATAGCAGCTTTCAGGGCGACGACGAGGAGAGCGTAGCAGAATCTTTTGCAGATGACGCGTCTGTTCAATCCGCCCGCTTACAGCCTTCTGGCAATGGAAGTGGACTGAACGAAGAAAATAGGTTTTCCACCAGTTCGATTGGCCGACGTGCTGAACTCATTCTAGCCAATGCGAAACGGAGGCTCACGGTTAGTTACACCCTGTCCGGTCCTGGGCCAAAATACACCGCATTGCAAGTTGCAGTTCGGCGTGCCGGCTATGGCCTCGCTGCTCTCTCGCTTTTTTTCCTCCCTCTTCATTTCCTCTCGTGCACCGAACCGACATGTTCTAATCTGTTGCCGTTAGACCATGGAAGGAAACCTGTCGAGAGCACGGAGTTCGCTTTATATCCACTCCACTCTCGAGTCCGACGGGTCAATATCCGCTCCATCTCCTCCCTTCGCAAGCCCTCGCGGCAACCTAAGCGACCCTAACTCGAGCTCATCGCGAATTGGACATTCCAGAATGCCGAGTGATAATCTCCTGTCTTTAGATACTAATTCCAGCCCACCCAATGCTTACCCACGTAGGTCAGCGAGCGCGCTTGGAGCAGCCGGAGGGTATAGGCAGCCACTACATGGCTCCAAGAGCCTCGACACCCTGAAGCTGAGCTTAATTCGGTCACCCCGCGCCACGTCTCTTGTGCAGGGCGAGACTAATCTAGAACCCCTCAGCGAAGATGAATCCGTGGGTGGGTCGGGTAGAAGGACGAGTGCCCAGCTCGATGGTTTTCTCAGCCCGACTTTCGGCCCTAACCCTGACAGGCCTGCCTCTGCTGCACAGATGCGAGAACTCAAGGAGCAGATGCTTGGCCTAAAGGGCAAGATCTCGAGTCTTCGTGAACAAGCTCGAGTTGATAGTTTAAAGCGCCAGAGTTTACAGAGCCTCCGCACCCCCAGTCCCTTTACGCACGCACGCATTGAGCAGTGGTATTCGGAACCCCAGGGTCAGGACTCGGAGCAGCCTACCGAAGCCGAAAGTGAGCCCCAAACCGGTCGTGACCTCGTTGGCAATGAGAGCGCCAGTGTGGAAGAACCTCTAGACGAGAAGGACGCCGGTTTTTCGGCTTCTGCCGTTGGAATCCCCCAGTCAGTCGAGGAAGCTCCAGGCCCGGACCTTGGCGAATCTCCGGCCTCGAGTACCATCGAGGCCGCCGAATTGAACGCGCCTACGGATGCTGCTGGGACGAGTACCGGCGAATATGATATCGACGATATGTGCACCGAGGATGGCATTGACCCTATCGAAGATGCCGAAGAAGGCAATCCTTCTCGCCGCCCCTTGAGTGGCTACACAAGCGAGAGCGGCGAATCTCTTTACCATGACGCACAGCAGACACCACTCTCCCATGAGGACCGAGAAGACGCATTTGATTACGAGCACTTTTTCTTACACAGCGCAATGGGTACCATCAGTCAGCAACAGTTCCGGCGAAGGGGAAGCATGAGTTCCGAGGGCTCGGTCGAAACTACGCGAGGGCCACTGAGCACCGCACCTGACGGAGAGATTAAACCCCGCCACCATGCTAGGAGGGGTAGCGGAGATACCACGTCAACCACCGATACCTTTGCGACCGCAGACGAAGAAAAGGAAAATATGAAGGCCGAAGCGGAAGCGGAAGAGGCAGTTGCACTGGATGGCACTGTTGTAGCGGACAATGCCGACCCTGAGCAGGATAGCTCCGAAGGCTTGGGATCGATCAGCTACGAGGAGTACCTGAATGGTGTACGAGCTAGACGCCGACATAATTCTGTGGTTTATCGCCCAACGCGGACAAGCATGCACCGGCCCTCAGTCTCCTCTTTCGAATCCACTGGCACAAATAGGAGCTTTCCACTTGTGAACGGGAACAGCAAGGTGAAGATGAACGGTGGCATCTTGACTCCCAGGGCTCACCGGATCAAGAGCTGAAGAACATATCGGATACCCTTATGAACGAGACGGCCAGCATCTTTGACAAGGATGGGGCTGACGGCGGGTGTAACTCGGGAATTGACTCGCTGCGTCGCGAGGATCAACTCCTCGTACAACGCTTGGTTGCGAGTCTCGGGCGCTGCGTTCTCGGTCTAAGCGAATCCGGCCAGGCATCTCCAGCCCACAGAACTATGCGGAGGAAGCTTGACGAAGCCCGGCGCATTCTGGAAGATGCTGCCGCAATGACGGTTGAGGAATGAAACCTTTGGAGTCTTCCCCCGCTACCCGCGGCGCGCTTTTTTTTTTGTAATATCTTGTCCCCCTCCCACCTTGGAAATTCAGGGGACAGGCCGGAGATGCCATGGATACATCTATGGACGGCCGTCTTCATGTTTCTTTCACCCTTTATGAACTTTACCTCTTACCTTGGCGCATAAGGCGGTTATGGCAGACAGCACATGTATGATAGAATTGGGGGTTTACACACCCACCTAATACCCAGCTAGCGGAGTCCATGGATGGAAAAGTCGTCGCTATTGGCGACTCAGGAACCGGCGAGTTTCTCACTGGATTGTTTTATTCTTATCTTGGTCTTTTGCGTAATTTATACAGACTTCAAGTCTCTTGTGCTCAATTATGTCCTCCTTGATCATTCCACTCAATGGCGCTGATCAGCCAAACGATCCTGACCCTCCGCCGCGTGCGGTCACAATCTATTATTACTAGGTATATAGTAGAAATGGTCCAAATCACGTGGATGGCCACGGATGTTGGGTGGTGAGGAGCGGCACAATCCTCTGAACTACCTCTTTGGGTTTGGCCGCTTATTACTTGTAGGTTGGGAGCTCCAGTGACGATTGATGGGGGTGAGCTTGGTACTCACGCCAGGAGGGGGAATTCGTTTAGAGGCTACCCCACTACTGAGCCTCATTGCCTGGACACCGAGTCAAGAGGTTCATTCTCACCACTCGCACCCCCAGACGAATCCGACATCACCAATAGGCCGCGAAAATGCTCCTCTTAGATTACCAAAATGCGCTCATTCAGTCAATCTTGACCGAGAGGTTTTCTGGGTTCGGATTTCCGCCCCTCCTCGGGCATATCATTACGAAGCTAACGAGTCAACCTGATGTAGGGCCCCCAGCGACCATTGATCAGACAGTTTCCGACTTTGACGGCGTCCTTTTCCACATCTCCACGCCCGAGACAAAGACGAAGATCGTATTATCCATACAGATTAGATGCTTCAAGGACCTTGTCAGGTATGGAGCCGAGCAGGTGCTCATGAGGGAGTACGGGCCATACGTCATCGCACCAGAGCCAGGGTTCGACTTTTCGGTCATGGTCGACCTCGAGAGCCTCCCGGAGGAAAAGGGTGAGTGGAACCGGATACCGCCGTTCACTCGGTCTTCTTAATGCCATCGGCAGAGCTAACTGACCTGGTGCAGAGGCTCGAGACGAGCTCATCATGAAGATGGCCCTGCTGAAGCGCAACGCGATGGCCGCGCCTTTCGAACAGGCGTACCAAGAGCACTACCAACTGCGGGAGGAGGCTTCCAAGTACACGTCGGAGGAGGCGCCCCAGGGCGTCCGAGAGGGCGGGGAGGTCATGGTGATCCAGTACCGCGAAGAGGAGGCCATATACGTCAAGGCTAGCCACGACAGGGTGACGGTAATCTTCAGCACCGTCTTCCGCGAGGAAACGGATCGCGTATTTGGAAAGGTGTTCATCCAGGAATTTGTGGATGCGCGAAGGAGAGCGATCCAGAACGCCCCGCAGGTGCTGTTCCGGAACGACCCTCCCCTGGAGCTGCAGGGTGTCCCTGGCGTGGTAAACTCGGGCACTGGGGAGATCGGCTACGTGACCTTTGGTAGGTTGGGTTGAACTCTTTTCGTTTACCGTGCGTGCGCTGACAAGGGGCTAGTTCTATTCCCCGCCATCTCACGGTGCAGCGCATGCCCGAGGTCATTTCACACATACAGACCTTCCGCGACTACTTCCACTATCACATCAAGGCCTCCAAGGCCTACATCCACTCCCGTATGAGGAAGCGAACGGCCGATTTCCTCCAAGGTATGACTGTTTTCCTTTCTCTTTTTCTTTTTCTTTGGTTTCTCCCAGTCCTCCTTGGGCGTTCTTCAGGTAGCAGCAACTATGACAACAGTGACAACAATGACAAACCCCGACCCACTTCCCTAACACCGCTCTTCTCGCATTTTACTTCCGACGTGCTTGCTAACCCAGGGGCAAATGATGTAGTACTACGAAGAGCCAGACCGGACAACGAGGAAAAGGAGAGGAAGACTGCCAGCGGACGGACTTTCAAGGTTCAAGTCTGATTAGCTTCTGTATCGCGATATCTGGGATATTAGCCGCGTCCCTCAGGTTAGATTTGGGCCACAGGCGTTCTACTTGTCAAGAAAAGGGGCTGAGGGGTTGGGGTTTGCCTATCCTGGGCCAGTTGCGTGCAGAGACAGTTATTTACTTTGCATGAACGATATGAATACATGAATGGTTGATATACCATCCTTCTTCTGAGGGATTCCAAGCCACCCCTTCAATGCGCCATCTGCCGCACTTAGTACTTGTAGTATCTACGATGCCCCGCCAAACAAAACTGCCGCGGGGGCCGAGATGAAGGCGTTACGGGAAAGGACAGTTATTCAAATCGGAGCAATCTCGAACCTGGGGCGGAGGAATCGATCTGTTGCACATCCGGCCTCTTATGCCGTGTAATCGGGAGCCGTAGACACACATCCACGGTTGTCGGACTGGGGTACAGACACCTAGATGGACACCGCAGGGCAGCGCACAAACCACAAGCCTCGTGGATGCTCGGCGGTGGTCACAGGGTCTCACCCCACGGACTATACTAGGAGCGTACTTAGCCGCCCGACTAAGACCTGACTTGACATGGTAGAAATAAGGCTCTTGAGCTCTTGCGGTTCAGACCTGGGGGATGGAATGTTCAAAACTCTTGTGACCCATGGATCGATGAGCGAGGGGCGAGTCGGACAAGGTAAGCGAACCAACGGGTCTGGAGGCGGAACATTGTGGCGTTGTTTCCTTTCCTGAGCCCAAATTCTTTTCTCTTACATATTGGTGTATTTTCATCACCATCATTATCATCATTATCATCATTATCATCATTATCATCATTATCATCATTATCATCATTATCATCATTATCATATTTTTCTTTCTTTTTGTTACGAACCCCTTCCTTTCTTCCCTCGAGGCTTGAGCCCTTTGAGGCGTTCCTTGATTTTAAAAGACCTGTGCTCTTGGTATGGAGAGAAAAGGCCTTTGGCGGGCGATCGCCGAGAGATTTCATCTTAGCAAATGTGTATGTCTGGTTGGAAGCCGGAGCCCGTGATCGCCGCACGGGTTTCATCCAGGCCCATCCAAGCCAAAGCCGACATCCATGCCGCGGTGATCAAGCTTGCGTGCGCCAGATTTCCATCCACATTTAAGAGTTTTCACGGACAAGGCGATATTTCAGTAACCTCCCCCATGGCGCCTAGTAGCATGATTTCTCGGGTGGGATCAAAGACATGGAAAGGGGGCAATGCAAGACATAACCGACCTGGACACCACTGATCTGGATTGAAACGGGGAATGTTTACTTGTACAGCCCCGGTACTCTATGTTCGCAATACTTGGACAACTTATCGCCAGACTGGGAGGATGGCAAACAGGTAGTGGGGACCGAAGATGGCTTTTTTTTCTCTTTGGTGGATAACCTTGCCATCTTCGTTCTCCGCTGCAGCAGAGCGTTTGCTACGGAAGGATTAGGTTCTGTGTATATGGCCAAAAAAAAAAAAAAAAAAAAGAACTCCCTGATTGTAGATATCTAGAAGTTCCCAAGATTGATTTTACGGGGATACGGAGAGAATCGAAGTTGGACTACAAAGCAGGCAAGAGTGCTCGTACCTGAGCGGACTTCGATGCTCGAGGTGGAGGTAGATGGAGGAGTGGAAATGTGTATGTCTCTTGAAATCGGAGCGGCATTGGCGATGGCCGGCCCGCAAGACAGGAGCCAAGCTAATCATTTTTCCGGGTCCTCCGAAGCGGAAAAGGAGAGCGGGACAATGGCTCAGAGTTCGAGACAGGGGCAAACAAGAGAAGCGACCTGGTATGGTAGTTGATGGTTGAAGGGATCTACGGTGTTACTGTCAGCGCCGCGGGGTTGGGGGACAAGGCCAGGCCCTTGGCGGTAGTTGCACGAGTACCATCAATTGATTCCTCCCGCCTCCAAAGGCCGGCTGTCGGACTGGGGCCCTTGAATTGAGCCTGGGGCCGAGACTCAACGTGCGCCCACACTGGGACGGTCTGCCTGAACTAATTGTGGATGACACTCCTTCGTACACACTCCCGCTGTAAAACCTGTCTCGCTTGCATTTGACGTAAGCGGTAGGCCCCGGGTGCTGTTGGCCCAGCTTGAAAAGAGACAAGATGAAAAAGCAAACGGGAAAGGAGAGACAGGGTGCACATCACGGTTGGTTGACAGGCGGCTTGAAGGGACCCTTTGCATTTTGTAGATGACGAGAGGGTCCTGGCTGACGAGGTTTTGTCGATACAATGCATGCAGGTTCCAAACTTCCTTTCTTTTTCCACCATCGCCAGAGATATTTATTTATTTGGTCCCTTTTACACGGGAGATCGTTGGCTGCTGATATTCATGGCTACCTTGACGGGGTACGATGCATAAATCTCTCCATCGGATATTGCTCTTGGATCGAGGGATAACTTTATGCGGCGGTCATTATACGAAGTACGTTCAAGTCGACCTTGGTAGGGTTCAACTTGCTATCAAACGTGGTGTCCTCTCAAGCATCTGGAGCTACCAGCCTCAGTGCGGGCAGGAATACCTCGGTACTCCAAGAGGGACCAGCCAGGCTGATGATGCCCGCCCCAGTCTCTTCCTCATTGGGACGGGAGGGAAGTGGAGGACAGGAAAGGACGCGAGTTTGACAGAGCAGGACTTCCTACCTCTCCGTTGGGCTTCTTGATACTTGTTTTTTCTTCTTCTATTTTTTGTTTTTCTTCTCTTAACTCCCCCAAAACCCCCTCTTTATATAATTCTTTCGAAGATGGCGGGTGGCTGAATCGGACGGGTTAGTCAAGGGTTTCTCGGTGCCTCGAATGTTGTCTTCACCCTGCAGGTATACCTGTGGAGTTGCACATCAGCTGGATCGATCAAAGCCCTCAAGATGTACGGTACAGACATGGATAATTTTTGCGCTCTCCTCTTTTGATGTTCGAGATGGACATGGAAAGCGAGCTCATCCCAGGGCCTCCGATCCACACCGCCGGCCTCCTCACTTGTGGACTGCAGAAGGAAGGAACTGTCGCAGGGATTCGTTGGCGGATCCATCCACTAGTGGAGGACTGGACGGAGTGCCGTGGCAAGCGTGGCTAGTTAGCCAGGGGCGCGGTGCCACCTGCCCCTGAAGCCCACATGGGCGTGCGTGAGCTCCGTCCAATATCCAACCTGTTTTCACGGCGCTCTGCAGAAAGCGCTCGCCTGGCCGAACGGACTTGGTGTCCGGTGCATCATGCACTCCGGGGGATGATATCTTGTCGCTGACCGCATGGGGCCGAATCTGGCATCGCGGCTGGTCATAGCAGGAAAGAATTTTCGTTTCTTTGCTGTTCCTTCTTCTTTGGTCTTGTTTCTTTCTTTCTTTTTCCTCTCCTCCAACTTCAGCCCAGTTTGATGCAGTTGATCTCTGCACCTTGGGGCATGACACTAGTAGATTGGGAATGACGAAACTAGCCCCTCGCCCATACACGAAAACAGCACATGAGGAGACACGGAGCGCTCAAGGGCCCAAAGAAAGTCCCCCAGTTTGTTTGAAGGGTTTGTCCGCCCCAATGCTGGGTCGCTTAAAGAGGAAACTGCAGATGCATGCTGCAAGGGCAGTGGAGAATTGTGGTCAACACGTCCGTCTGCAGGGGGCGCCATTGGTGGTTTCTCCCAAAATTCCCTCCTCGCCATCCAGCGACTGGGAAGAATCTTGCAGGCTTCTTTCGGCCAGTGGCTGGTGTGGCCTGTTTCCCATCAACCTCCCCTTTCTAATTGACCCATCTCCGTCGAGGGCGGGGGAAGGGAAGGAGCACCGGGGTTTCCTCGCTCGTTTGGAGAAATCGAGATGGACTGTGTTGATTGTTGACGAGGCGGTGCAATGGAAAATAGATGGCGGCTCTGGCCAACCAGCTGAAGGAAACCGTAGTCCCTTGATATTCTCTCATCTCGCTTTCTTCTTGAAACCAAGAAGACAACTCTGACCTTTTCTCGTCAGAATTGTCGGCCTTTCCTTTGGATCGTGAATCTCACACGTCCCTTCCTTTCGTTCTCCTCTCTGACACTCTTTTTTTCTTCTTTTTCTTCTTCTTCTGTTCCTGCTCCTGCTTTGCTCCTATTTCACCCAAGTCTCTCATTTTCCCTCCATCCCCCTCTTTGGACGGGTGGTTGCAGCGGAGGCGTGGTAGCAATTGTCTCTTGTGCACCCGGATCGCTCCATTTCCAGACACAGACCTGTGTCACTTTGTCGCTCTTTTACCAAGATTTTCGAACGATTTTTGGAGGGGCCGCTTCACCACGGATACCTTCTTTGCTCTGGCCCTCATTCTCTTGCTCTTGCTCAGACTTTCATGGTGAGACACCTCATCCCCTCCCTGGCCGTCCACGAGGGTCTGAACCACAATCATTCGGAACCTATTACCCCCTCCTTTCCCCATTTGATCCAGCCACGGCTGGACGGGGACTACCCAAAGATAGGCCTGAGCCTTCTCGAACACGGCACTGACTCTCCCAGATCCCGAAGGCTGCTCCAAAAATACCTACTGTCCTTGAACCCACGCTGCCCTTTGGACCGCAACCTCTGGTACACTTGGGGAGTGTCTTTTCAGCAACCCCTGCTCCGATCATAGTTCGAGTCGATTCCAGGGCGTGAACATCGCTCGCTCCTCTACGCCTTTCCCACTCAGGCCGCTCGATTTTTTTCTCCCTCTCGCTTCTCTTTTGCTTCCAATCCCGCACCTTGGACGGGGCCCGGTAAGCATTAACCTGCACGATTCCGGCAGAATTGAACCTTTAGGACAAACCTGCTATCGCTAGACCACCGCTCTCTTCATTCGGTCGGCTCAACCATCCCTTCGACGGGCTATCCTTTCTCCCCTTCTTTTTCAACTCGGAGATATTAGGCAGGTCCCTGGTCTTGAATCCCAAGCGGCACACATACCGAGTATATCGGGGAGCATTTTCGGCATACGACCAAAAACCAAAGTTTGACAAGGCGGCATGAACGACGACTGACCAGCATTGGCTATCGAACTCACTGTCACAGGGAAAATACAGAGAAAGTATACCCATATCGAACACGTCGTCAAACAGGAGAGATACGCAGCGTTCCCGCACCTCATCTCAGATAAAGATCCCAGTGGGAACGTGAATGACGCTTTTCGTGGAGTGTTGATGGAATAGTACATCCGGCCGGATTTCTGTCTTGATCGTGGCGGGCCCAACTTGCACCTTCGCTCTGTCTATCTGCGATTCGATTGGCCGGTGCCAGGCCCACTTGGGATTAGCAACTCTGGATTTTGTGTGTGGCGCCGTCTCGACACTGGAGCCCTGGGGCGAATCTCGGATCCCCTTGCCAAGATTCAATCAGACTCACACACACGCCAGACCGAGACTGTTCGGCCTGTTGCACCAGATCAATTGGATCAATTAAATTGGGGGAAAAACAAACGTAGGGTAAGTGGTCACATTTGTCTTGAGCGAAGTAAGAAAAAAGAGACACGACACGACACTGCCATTTTGTCTCTCTCTCCGCCTGTCCTCACTGCCCCTGTTTATCCTGTCCGTCGCCATTTATTGCTGGTTGCCGTCGCACCACCTCTCGGCCGTGGTTGCGTCGCTCTGCTCTCTTCTTTTTCTTTTCCCAATTTTTCTCCTTCGCTTCATGTCCGTTCATTTTCAATTTCTGGCTGCCCCATTCTCCTCGCTTTCACCGCTACCCCTGTCCTAGTTCTGAGGTCGATCTGACGTAAGGTACAAGAGTCGTGCGCCAAGGTTGCTTGAGCTTGCTTGTACCTGATCGGGGAGAACCAGGTTGGCCCCGTGTTTTGCGTTTCGTGACCGACAGGATCCGAGACAGGAACAGGCGCTTCCTCTGCCCCCCTCCTCCAAAATCAAAATTCAAAAGGTTAGGCTTCTTCCAGGGCTGCTCTGCCACTCCCCCAGTGCTGGAGAGGCACGCTAAGCACTTGGGCACCCGCCTCAAGCTGGGCACAAGTGCCTTTGCTCGAAAATCAATTCCGAGCACGCACATTTTGCACAAAGCCAGGTTGACTACCGAGTGGTACCACGTTCCCGCACCTTTTGGGCGAGGCCCAATCTCCCAACCCGTTCTTTTCACAACCAACCATCAGCGCCACGCACGTCCCCGCGTGGTACACCCTTGTACTAACCCTTTCATTGCCCCAGTCCTCTCATCGGATGCTCATAGTCTCAGGCCCTGCCGTTTCGTTCCTTGAACCGTCAAAACTCTATTCTCGCAAAACACTTCAACTTCTCCTTTCAATTCGATTCGACCCGACCGATCCTTTCAACTTCCTCTTCGACGCGGCTTTCTTTCGTCCTTTATTCTCTTCGACTTTTTTCTTTTTCTCTCACTCTCTCGATTTTTGTCGCATAATTTCTCCCGATTTCCTCGTGCGCGACTTGTAGAACCGGGGCCACGATAATCTCACGTTTTCGCGTCTTCAACCTGACCCTAATCTCCTCCATCCTTAGGCTCCGCCCTCATTTTGCCTTGTTTTTCAACCACGCTCGCTCCTTCCACGACTCTCTGTCGCCGACCCGATTCTCGCCTCTTACGAGCCCATTGGCTCCAACCCTCGTTACAAAAGTTCCATTTTTACTTCGCAAGGCGCCGGTTCTTCTCGTCTTTGGCCCTCTTGGAGCGTCGCGTTTTTCGTCACGAACCTGGACTCCCGTATTCCAGCACCACGACCTCAAATGACATTTTCAATTTGATCGGCAAGGCTAGATAAGAAGAAGAAAAACAAAACCTCGCGCCTTTCGTTCAGCAACAAATCGAACACGTTTCGACCCAATTGATAGACGGTTTCAACTTGGGGATTGCGGTCTGAGAAAAGATGGCTTCGTCCTCGCGCCGGCCTCGCCGGACGGCGCGTCGCCACAGCCCCTCGTTTTCGTGGTCAACAGTACTCCTTAGCATGGCGGCTCTTGCTCCCTCAACATCCCACGCTGTCAGCATCACCCCCGCGCCTCCCGCCAATATCGACTTCTCCCGTCTCGGCAGAATAGGTGTCGCCGGAGACTTCACAGGCATCTCTCTCTACGAGTACGAGGGCCAAACCCAAAATCCTCTCTCCAAAAATGGGAGCGAATCGCTACTAGCCCAGCTCCCTAATGGCGCGTTTGCGTCCCTCGTATCCACTGATGCTTCTATTCAGGCCATGTGCTCTTTACCAGGAAGAACGGCGATTTTGCAGGCGTGCTAATAGGCGGTAACTTCACCAGCCTCAACAACCAAAAATCTCAGGCCATCGCCCGGTACAATCCCGAAAACGGCGAAATTACCCTCTGGATGGCCTCGAGGGACAGGTCAATGCCCTCTATTGTGACCAGGACACGGATAGGGTATACGTCGGGGGCAATTTTAAGAGGGACGACTCGACGAATGCCATCGCCTGGAACGAGGACGACGGCTGGATCAACCTCCCCTTTACCGGTTTCAACGGCCCGGTATCCTCCATAGCCAAGGCCTCCAACGGCCACATCATCTGGGGCGGCTCGTTCACCGGCATTGGCAATGCCACCGCCCCTGCCACCCCGGACGATCAGGTTGTCAACATTTCCGACGCCGAGATATCTGCCGGAGCTGGTACCACCTCCACCGGCTTCAGCGACCCCCGCAACATTATTTGCAAAACTGACGGCGCCGACGGCGCAGGAAATACCTGGCTCCTCGCTGATCGGTCTCCGGGCTATTGGCAGGCAGATTTCGACTTTGGCTTTCGCCCGACAAAACTGCGACTGTACAACACCCATTTGGATGGTCGCGGAACCAAGACCTGGCGCTTTACCGTCATTCCCGATAACGGCATTCTCAATTTTACATATATTGACCCTGCCTCCGGCCGCAACTTGTCGTGCACCAATGAGTGCCCGCTGAGCGACGATGCCGACGTCAAGTTCCAGGATTTCCACTTCGTTAACTCGGTCGGAATGAACAGCTTCAGGATCGACATCTCCGAGTTCTATGGTGCTGGCGGCGGTCTCAATGGCATTCAACTGTTCGGCGATGACATTTTCGCCTATGCCATCAACCGGTTCAACGAGCCGGCCTGCGCCGGCCTGGGTACCGCATCATCGGCCACCGCGACCGGCCCTTGGCAGGAGGTTCCTTCTGCTCAGAGTAACTCTAGGTACCTCTCGACACGTCTCTCTTCGCCCATCGCCGAGGACGCGGCCTCCATTGTCTTCTTCCCTGACGTGAGGGAGTCGGGCAATTACTCGGTCAATATGTACACCCCCGGCTGCATCGGTGACGGCACGTGTGGCTTCAGAGGCCAGGTCAATATCACGGGCACCATGTCTCGCAACAACAGAATTTCCTTCTCTACCTCGCTTTTCCAAACCAACAACTTTGACAAGTACGATCAGATTTACTTTGGATTCGTTGACGCGAGCTCCGCGTCCTTTAGGCCGAGCGTCACCATCACCCCCTTGCCGGCCAGAGCCTCGACGAGATGGTCTTTGTCGCGCAGAGGGTGGGATTCAGCCTGATCAACTCGACTGGTGGCCTCAACGGTCTCTTTGATCACGACCCTTCCTCGGACGAGGTCCAGGCCTCCGATATCCAGGCATCCGCTGTCAACAGGCTCGGCTCCAGCTTCTCGGGCGGGTCTGTCGTCTCTTCCTCGCCACCCTGGGTGATGTTCTCTACGTCGGCGGCGACCTCTCGTCACCCGACAGCGAGAACATCGTTTCCATCAATACTGCCGATGCCGGTGTTTCCGATCTCGGCGGTGGTCTCGACGGGGATGTCAACTCTATGCTTCTCGCGGACTCCACCCTCTACGTAGGTGGCCGGTTCTCCTCTGCCAGCAGCGGTGTCCGCGGACTCGGCAACACGGCTGCTTTTGATACGGAAAAGAGCACCTGGAACCGCCTCGGCGGTGGTGTCAATGGTGTGGTTCAACACGTCGTTGCGATGCAGCTCAACCTCACCGCCAACGAACCGGAGACCGTTGTCGCCTTCACCGGGGACTTCACCGAGTGCGAGGCATTCGATGGCAATGCCGCTTCTCGGGCTGCCGGACTCGCCGTCTGGGTACCCTCCCGAAATAATTGGCTGCAAAACCTCGACCAGGCCGTACCGGGCTATAGCGGAGCGCTCACGGCATCGATCCTTAATCTGCAAGGCGGCGGATCCCTCTACGCCGGTTCCCTATCCTCCTCCCAAGTGAGCGCTGCGGGCGCTGCGACATTGACCAATGGCAGGCTGAACCGGTTCCCCGTCACCATAACCTCGGATTCAGATGCCGAGCAATCGTCGACGAAGCTCAGGCGCCGTGCTCTCTCCTCTGCTGATGACGTTGAGGGCGTCGTAGCCGGTGCCTTTACGAAACCGACGGCCGCAACATGACGGTGCTGGCCGGTCAATTCTCAGCAAAAGATTCAAAGGGGACAACGGTGGAGAACCTTGTGCTCATTGATGGAGCCGACAATAACAGCATCAGCGGCCTCGGCCCCGCCATCAACGACAACGCCACGTTCGCGGCCGTCGCCGTGGGCGGTGACATCCTCTATGCGGGAGGTTCGTTGACTGGGACCGTTGACGGAGACCAAGTCCGCGGCATCGTTACGTACAACCTAGCGACCAAGTCTTTGCGGATCAGCCTCCGCCGCTCTCGGGCGATAACACAACGGTCCTCGCGATTGCCGTTCAACCGGAAACCGGACTAGTATATGTGGGGGCTCCTTTACCCAGGCTGGCTCCCTGCCCTGCCCCGGCATCTGCGTCTACAACCCCGAGCAAACACAGTGGCAACAGGCCGGTATCAACCTCCAAGGCGAGATCCACACATTGATGTGGACAAGCGAGACCACACTGGTTGCGGCTGGTTCCTTCACCGTCAACGAGACTGTGAGCACGTCGCTTGCCATCTATTACTCGGGATCGCAGACCTGGGACCGATATCCGGGAGCAGATAGTCTTCCCGGGGCAGTTGAAGCGGTAACGATGGGATCTAGCGATGGTTCGCAGCTCTGGGTCGCGGGCCACGCCAACGATGATTCCGTGTTTTTGATGAAGTACGACGGATCGCAGTGGCGCGCCGCCCCGCAAGGGCTCCTCGCGGGTTCGGTCATCAAGAGCCTCCAGGTCTTCTCGCTGACGGAGCGTCACGACTCGACGGACCTCCTCCCGAACAGGCAGTCCCTGGTCGTGACGGGCGCCTTAGAACTGGACGGGTTTGGCAAGGCTTCTGCAGTCATCTTTGATGGGGAGTCGTACCGGCCCTATGCCTTGACCACGGGTTCGGGCAACGGGGCGGGATCCATCGCAAGGATCTTCTCGCAGAATCAGGACTTCTTCACCGCAGGAGGTGGCAACATGCCTCTCGTCTTCATCGTCTTGATCGGTCTCGCCATTTCCCTAGGCTTGATGCTCATCATCGTTGCCGCCGGTGTTTTCCTCGACCGCCTACAAAAGAAGCGCGAGGGATACGTCCCCGCGCCCACCACCATGGTCGATCGGTCCAGCGGCATCCGGCGGATACCCCCAGCCAACTATTTGAATCCCTTAACAGGGGAGGGGCGGCGACATCCCGCAAGTATGATGAAGTTCCACCGCATTTGACGATTCCCAGTGTCTCTTTTTTAAGAGATGACTCGGGAGAGTTGTTCCCGGACTTTGGTCCTTTTTCTTTCCACATCGAATGGCGTTTCAGGCAGGCAGAGAGGCGGGGTCGGTCTTTTCCCCTATACGGTTCTTTTTTTTGTTTCTTCATTTATCCTTCTCTTCTTGCCACTGAGCATAGGAGGGAAGGCGGCAGACACTCACGATGATACCAGCACGCACGACTTGTTTTTCTTTTCTTTTTCTTTCCTTTTCACAGTACCGTCATCATCAGCCTTGGAAGACGACATGCACACTCTTGTCAGGCCTCTCGCAGGATGGACACTCGAACGAGGAGCCGTTGCACCTATCCCCGTGTCGGAAACCACTTGTTCATCGTCCATCCCCCTTCGAGAGCCGAACCGTTAGCAGTAGCAGCATCTTGCTCCTCTTTTCGGTTCACCGCTCTCACATCATACACGCACACGATCGGGTTGTCTCTGGCTCGTCCCAACTCGAGCCAAACCAACAAACAAGAGCAACAACACCAAAACACCTAGCTATCTCACTCTACCTTCGATTCTCATGAGCCCATGAACGCTTGTTTTTATTTTCCAACCCCTTCTTTTCTTTTTCTATCCTACCTCGCCACCATCATGTGTTTGTCTCGGCGAACGGGCGTTCTCTTTTCCTCTCCCTCTCCCTCTCTCTGGTAGACTTGGTCTGCGATCTTTCCCTTCTAATCTTGACCTCACTCCCACCCGCCGATAAATGTATTGTACAATAGCCCCTGCTTGGGTGAGGAAGCGCTCCTACATTCCAGTGCTGTCAGGCCCTTTGATGTGCTTGTCATATCCCCTTTGTTGTTTGTTTTTTTCCATGGCCATGACGGCTCGGTTTTATTGTGTACCCTTCTAGATGGTTTTGCCGTCACATTTGGTTGCAGCTAGCTTTCAAAAGATTTGCACGGATACCAGACGTTGACGACGGTAGAGTCGACAGGTCTTTTTCTTTCGCGTTTGTTCTCCGTCTCGAGAGACGGTGGACGGTAATAGTGTAGATAGCTTAATGGATAGACGGTTTTCGAACTCTCCAAACTATGCGTATCCCATCGTTCTCCTTGCCTGTCCGAGTTGTCCGAGTTGTCAAAGCCGTGCATCGACCTACAGAACGGATCAAGGCCCGTCCTCCGCCGTCGAACATTCTTGCCGGGATGTCCAAGCCATGTCTGTCTAGTCTGAGGGCAAGATTTGCCAGCTCATCGACTTGGCTCTCATGGGAAATTATCAAACATGTGGGCTAAACGGTAGCACGCACTCCGCGGGCCGGGTCCCGCGTCTCCTTTCGCATACAAAGGAGGGAGGGAGAGAGCGGACGGACAAGATTAGCTAGGATACAACGCTCAGCAGCGCACCGAAGCGATCCATTCTCCCACTTCGTGACGGGCCCTCGTACTTTGTCTTGAAAAAGAGAATCTGGTTATATTCGTCCCTCGGGGGCTCTTCATATCCCCAGATACACCAGATATACCAGATATACCACCCGACGTACTGCATCTGGACAAGATCGTCCACCTTTCGACCTGAGGGAAACCCTTCTTCTGCGTGCAGTGTTCCATTCTTCTTCCTCTGCTATTTATCATTTATCCAGCCGAGCGGGCTTCACCAGATATCCTTCTTGTGTAGTGCATGCGTCTCTTAACGAAAAGGGCAATCGGGGTGGCATGAAGCACGAAATGAAGTCCAAAAAAATCTTTCCCCTTGAGATTTGGATGCAGACAAGAGGCTTCCCCCTTCCTCCCTTTACGCCATCTTCGTACGAGAAGGGGCGCGTGTCTCTTTTTTTCTTTTCTTCTTCTTCATTCTTCGTCCCCCGCCCGCTCCGCGTTGCAACCCGTCGGGCCGAGTGACGTGGGGTATCCATCGTGAAGAGCAGCGCCGTGCAGACCGAAGAGAGGGAGGGGTAAAACGAGGTGAACGCCGTGACGGACCCGGCAAGATGGAAAACCGTGATGGCTTTTCGGCCAGGAAAAGCCATCACGGCGGCTCCTTTGTTCGGCGGAATATGACGATGGCTTGACGGCACGACGTCTTCCCTTTTTTCGTTTTTTCTCATTCTTTTTCCCCCTCTCGTTTCCAGAACAGCCCGCACGCCGAGGGTAGCGTTGCTGGGAGATGAAGGGTTCTCTTGGAAAAAGTCACTTTGGGCCTTTGCTTTTGCTTCTTGTGTTCAGCGCCATGTTTGACACAACGGCACCGAGAATTCGGGGGAACGGGAACAAAGACGCAAAGCAACCGGCGACGGGGCCACATTTTTTGTGTCCCCCTTCTCGTGCATGTGCTCGTCCATCTCTCTCGTTCTCTTCCTCTTTCTTCTCGCTCACAGAGACCCCCCTTCCCCCTTTTGATCATCTCCCGCCATCGACGTGATTACTCGCCTGCCTCACCCGTGCCTATCCCAACCCTTTACAGAACGAACCCGCCTAGTGGCTGAAATGGCACTGATCGCTGAAAAAGAAGCATAGTTAAAAACCAAAAACTCTCTCTCCCTCTCCCCCAAAAGGCCCCTTTCCTCTTGTTGCACTCCGCGACATCGCATTGTCTTTGGCTAATCGCACCTCCCATCCCATCTCCATACCCTCCCATTCACTCCGCCCCGCCTCCATCCCGCTCCCATGGTCGTGACTGGAGCACTAAGTCTAGGCGGGCATGACGCTTGTCTTGCGGGAGGATACTCGGGGCTTCTATGCGTTGGTGGACTCGGGTGATTCAGAGGGCGCCGCGCGAAATCTGGAACCATTTTCGCATTTTTCCGCCGCGCCCGATGCGGACGTCCCAGGCCACACGCCGCCCTAGGACGCCCAACGGGCCTCAAGGGCTTTGTTTTTCTTCCTTCCTTCCCTTCTCTTCCAAGACCTTTAATGAGTAAACCGCCGAAGCCATTGACGCCACCCATGCACAAGTAAGCGGCATGGCGCAGGGAGGGACGTGAACAGGGGCTTTGCCCTCTGGGGAGGGACGTTAAGGAGGCATGTCGAGATGCCAAACCGCGCAAGTCTCAGTCACCGTTTGCACGCGGAGAGAGAGAGAGAGAGAGGGAAAGAGAGGGAGGAGTGTTCCTTCTCGTCGAGATCCAAAGGATCACATCCTGCCTCCTTGTATCCACAACATACAAGCCCCTGATGTCGTCTCTACGTCGACGCGACGCGACCAGGGATGGAGGTATCAACAGCGTGTCTTGAACTCGACATGAACCTTGGCCTCGGGTTTTTAGCAGCCACCATCCTCCTCACCTAGGAGTTGCTTATGGAGTTGGCCATCTCACTTCATCTCGAATCTGTAGACGAGATCTGAAGAATCGGGCCTTCGGCGATGTGGGTTTGAGACAATCTTTCACACAGGTTCCATGACCAGCAATGATGCCATGGGATCTCTCACCGACACCCAGTCATCCCTCTCTTCATAGGAACCTGCCATTTCAGAGCAAACACCCCATGAAGACCTAAGAAACATACTTTACACAGTGCCCTCGGAGACTTTTAATGATGGATACCGTCTCAACCACCCTTTCGGGTTGGCTGGGGACTGGCGTGACGTGAAGTCTTTTATTTTCGTGCGAGGGGAAGGCGGGGATGAGAAGTCTGTGCTGTCCGGTCTGGGCCAATACAAGGATAAAGAAGGACGAGACGTTGTCTGGGAACAAGAGCAAAGTGTACAAGTAATGCGCCAAAATTAACCCCCGTCCTTTTCCCTGGAGCCACCACATACTTTGGGGTCCTATATCGGCAAGAGACCGTCAGCACTGCAGACCGCTGAGGGATAGAACTTGCTCGCGGCGACCAACTCGAGCCATCTTCGGGGCAGATGGAAAGGCTGCATGTGGGCCACAAAGGACCGACCGACGATATAGACCCGGAGTGGCCAGTTCGGCTCGTTGCCGAAAAGCCTCGGTCGTCGGTCCCTCATGATTATCTCTTGAATCATCGTTGGACCTGCCTTGGGAACCAGTACAGCAGCACCTGACGTCCTTGAGCATCGTCCCGTCCAAAGTAGTAGGTAGTCGAGAACTGCGCCCCTGCCCCTGGGTGGCCTAGTGCATTTTGCTGCTGAGGGATCGGCATCCATCAACGAAGCGAGATGACTAGAAGGCCCTGATAAATGCGCCGGCTTCAGGCCTGCCCCGGATGTCTCCTTTCATGTCTCCTTTCTGCAAGAGGGAATTTTGCCACAGGATTGACAGGGAATCTTACCTCAGGCTGTAACAAGGGGAGAGAAAAAGAAGAAAAAGAAAAAGAAAAGAAAAAGCCCCTCCGAAAAGAGTCCACGGAGAGAGGCGGCAGCAGAGTCAACTGCAAGTTCCCTACCATCTTCATCGTCCCACGTTCCGACGGACGGGTTCGCGTTGGATCTCCTCCCAGCCCCACAACGGTCGATGGCAGTTCCGAGTTCAAAAGGGTACTTGTGATCCACCATGATACTTGTCGAGCATAGTGACACGAGCTGGACGGCAGTCAACTCGGAGATTCGCTCTAGTGCTTGAGGAGGCAGGCTGTCCGGGCAGGTCTTTGACGTCACCCGCTAGAGACCAACAGACAGAAACCTACCAACCTGCTCAACTGGCCTTGTAGGATATGTTACCTCGCTAGTGGCATTTTGCTCACCTGTCGCCGCAGCCCTTGTGTCCACTCTTTTGCATACCGGGGTCGCCATTCCGTTGGTACGGTTTCCACATCTCATTCGGAAACAAGCTGACCCAGTTTAGCTCTAGTATACACTACATCTTGTTACCCGTCTCCCATGTGGCCCCGTATCTCGATCATGAGTCAATGTGGGCTGTCCAGAGCAATATCCACGTTCTCTACGTTTACCTTAGAAGTTATTCACTACCCAGATCCCCAAGGATGCTGGCGGTAGCTTGGGGCATGACAGGCTCGGGGAGGGAAGGCACCTTTACATCCTGCCCAAATCCTCTCCCAGGGGCCGAGAGAAGGGGGCTTAAGAAAAGAAGAAAAACAAGGCAGC